TTTTGGGAAAACACGGCCAATGAACTTAGCTAGCTAGCAGGATATCAACATTTTATACAGCACGTATGGTATGTAATAAAAATGAAAAAGAGCTTACTATGCCGGGCTTCCCCCGGCTTCCCCTACTGCCAGCTATCATCAGCTATCATAAGATGGTTGGGCAATGAACGTAATTTACCTACTCCGAAAATCATGCTTTGATCATCCGTCTTTCAAGTAAAATAGAATAAGGTGCATCATAGAAATGATGATTTGCATTTTGCATGTGCTTTCTGAATGAACTCAGTTATTGAACTGATAGGTAGGAACAGTTTCGTGGAGCGTGGTAATTGTTTGGAAAACCGAGACGCGCAACATATAGCCGCACTCTCCTCTCCTCTATTTTAGTGCTATATTTCAATAATGGCTCCTGAAAATCATTTTAATTTCGTTAAGTTGACCTTGTCAGGGTTCACGATGAACACGGCTCCGGTGTCGTGTGATAGTTGCCCTGTGTGGGATATAGGTACCGGAGGCAAATAAATAGATGTGGGGAGGGGTTCATTGAAGGGCCAAGACTGGGCCAACCGCAACATACATAAATATATTAACATGTCCATTGTCCATGCCTTTCCTAAGAGTGGACAACTTTCCAGTGTGTTGAAGGCTCAAACAATTTTAAACTTAAAATCAACAAAACTGGAAAGGCGTTCACTCGTGTGTGAATCACTAACTAACGTGCATTTTCTGTTTGGATGAAGCTAGGGGATTGGGGAAGGTCCTACGTTCCCTCAATCTCCTCCCCCCCCGGCCCCCGCGTCTGTTGGCAACATTTGTACGGTGTACCTATTTGTACCCGCTCCTAAGTACTTCGATGAACTCTAAATAATAAGTTACAAGTCACAGTCCTACGCACTCATCAATCATCATGATAATTGGAACATAAATATTTGATTGTATGTACCCTCCACTCGCCGAGACCGTTCAGTAAAATTGTTGTGTGTTCAATGTTGATATCTGGCCTTAGGCCTATCATGGCATATTCCCACGGGAAACTGCTGATCGCCAGCTCTGGTTCAGCCAATCATTTTGCTCGGCACTCACAGGCCCCGCCCTCCCGGCGGCGGTGGTCTGTTATCTGGTCTGTGATTGGCGGAGGAGCGATTCCGCCCCGCCCCCGCCCGGCACTCTCAGCGCTATGCGGTGGCGATGGAGGCCGCGTGGGAACAGTCGTCGGCCGGCCGCCGCGGTGTGGGTTGGGTGTCCGATTGTCGTATTCTGGAGGTCACCGGGCTCCACAGGCGCGACGGAGGACGGTGACATGTCGCGCAGGAAGCAGCCTTACCCTAGCCGGCGCCCCGACCGGCCGGAGTGGGACGGCGTCATCCCGGGAGTCGGCGGCGTGGAGACCGACGGTAGGTGAGCGGGCTGGGAAGAACCGTGGGATAGCAGGCTGGCCAACTTGCAAGGGCGGCTCCAGCGCGGAACAAATATGTAGTAGATCAGCACTTGTATGTGCCGTTACAAAATGCAGGGGTATGTGGCGTTGTTTACGGATAATGACGGTCTCACTCTCAACGTTTTAGCCAATATCTCGTACCTATCGGCGCGAGTCCATTTGATGGGCGCGTCTTTTTCGCACACCTTGTAAGAACTTCCAGCCTCAGGTCATTCGACGCCAGTTCATCAGCTGACGGTAAGTGACGTCCTTATCGTAGAAAAAGTTTGCTGGTAGGTAGGTAGGTACCTATTTCCATTAGCTAAATGTTGCTCGAGTCGTTGAGCTCACTATTTTTTTTTCTCGCACCGGGCCATGACGCCAGAGCCGGATTGCGACCGTTTGAAGTCAACGACCGTCTCACATCTCAACTTCCTGAGGTCTACATATATGTCATGATGAAAGCTCAGCAAATTTCAGACAACAATGACTTGTGATAGAGACATGCTAGAGCAATGAAAATCGCCGTGGATGTGCTTAGCTCACCAATACCGAATCGAATGTTACGTAGATAATAGGACCTTTTTGCTTTTTCGGTCGCTGGTCATCTTTTTAAGTTGACGTTTTAAAGGGACCCTCCCACCTTAACATTAGTTTTGAGTTGAGATAGCCAAATTGGTGGCCATGGCCTGAAAATACCGGTTTGGGCACTCACAACATCGAAAAATGCTTTAATTCGGAGATATGGAATTTCAAACTTGCAGTTTTCGGATTCTAAGGGGCTAATGCATTGGTATGCCCCCTTAGAATTTGTGACGTCAGCGGAGGTCTAACGATTTTTAAATCTTTTACTAAAGCGTTTGGTAGCACGCGGTGGTATATGCTGCTTTGCGCGCAACAAATGCCGCACTTTCAAATAAAGTCGCTAGGAACAGCGGAGATCCCAGAAAGTAAACAATAGTAAAAGTATAATATCTTGAAAACCGGTGAATATTTTTCGATGAAATTTGGTAGATATTCGTTTTCGCTCTTCCTGAACCGAGCGACATCACTTTCATGCCAATTCATTAACTTTTTTGAAGGTGGGAGGGTCCCTTTAAGGCCAATTTTCAGATAGGCACGTCTCGCCGAGAGACACATGACGATGACGCTTGTAAAATTAATGTATGTCGTAAAAGCTTTGCGTCAAAAGGTTGCGTTTGCATAGCGATGGAACGCCAATTTTGACGGATCTTGCAATGTGGGCTGTGAAGGCCAAGCCGTTGACCATATTAGCCAAACGTGGGCTCTTATCCGTGAAAATAAATCTTAGAAGAGCAGGCTCCGTGATGTTCTAGTTCTTTTACTTTGCGAGCCATGGGCCAGACGTCAAATAACGTTAGAACTTGGAAATTAGACATGGAAATTAGCCTGGTGGCCTCTTTTACCCAGACTTTGACACGACCTAAGTCCTAAAATGACTTATAATTGAATTCACTGTTATTTTGATTAGTCACCTAAATGTTGTACGAGTCGGCGTGCTAAGTAGTTCAATTTTTTCCCCAACACACTGGGCCACCAACACCAGATCACTGTCGAGTTGCGGCCGTCTCAAGTCCAGGGCTGCGGAGTCGGAGTCGGAATCGGAGTTGGAGTCGGTCGGAGTCGACAGTTCTGCCCGGAGTCGAAGTCGAAGTTGGAGTCGCCAAAAGCTTACCGACTCCGACTCCGGAGTCGGAGTTAACGATGCATGGCTCATTGTCATGCACTGCACCTGTTTGATTGACGATACTGCGCTCGAAATTAGATTTTGTCGAAAAAAGGCCATTTTGCTGTTTTAGACGAATGCTTTCGGCGAATGAAGCAGAAGACGTTGAATTCCCCAGAACCTGCTTTTTAATTCTGAATGCTATTTTTAAGCATACGAGTATGTATTCGCAACGCAAAGCCTTGGAATGCTCAAGGGATAGTCTCAGGTACCTCAGCTGAAAACAGCTCCATTATGAACTTCAATATCATGATATGGATTTTAATAGACCCGTCCGGAGTCGGAGTCGGAGTCGGAGTCGATTTTTGAAGACGGAGTCGGAGCCGGAGTCACCCTAAAATCCATCGACTCCACAGCCCTAGACTCTCAACTCACTTCACAGGCTCGATCGTTAGCAGACAAATTGTTCGGCGGAAAACATCTATCGTATCAGAGAAGTCCATATTTCAGTGGAACTGCGTACGGCCGACGCCCTAGGCTGTCGTTAACCGGCCTATGATGGATTTAATCAGCAGATGACGAAAGCCTTCACCGACGAAGTAGATGTCCCTAAATCGTCGGAGGCTTCTCCCGAACCGATTCATTTTATACAGACGCGATTGGAGCTAGTACCCAAATAGGTAGGTAAGTGTTCTTTAGCACCGCCAGTGAGGACGATGCATCGGAATATTAAGTCCCAGGGGACATGTCCCCAGGGAGTCAGGGACTTAATATTCCGAACCGTATTAAAGAGACAGATTTAATCAACACTCGCTGTAGCACTGATAAAAATGTGTAGTTAGGTGGGCACTGGGTGCCTAGATCTCTCACAAACTCAGTCTAATAATTGGTAATCAGGGACGGATCCAGAGGAGGGCAAATAGGGCAATTACCCCTCCCAAACGGCATAAATTTAACATTACGCTTAGAACGATGCATGGAACGAACCAATTAATTGTTATGGCTTGCCCCTCCCAAAACTCTGAGCTGGATCCGCTAATGAGTTGGTTTACAATAAGGTTTTAGTAGGTACAGTCCCGGACCGTCTAGAAAAGTGGATATCATAATCGCTTCACATAAACGGAAATCTTTAAGCATGCGTGAGTACCTAATTTATCGAGTATATTACCCTCAAATTAGCGCTTTAGCGGCAGCATTCGTCATTCGTGCGATGCTGGCTCGGGGGCAGATTGATGTTCCACCACTCCCTACCCATCGGGCTCCCATGGCTCAGCACTGGCTGCTGCCAGTGGCAGCACTGGCAGCACTGGCACGGCAGGCAGTGCTGAGCAGTGCTGAGGGCAGGCACCACTGGTTGCTGCCAGTGCTGAGCCATGGGAACCCGATGCAGGGCAGGGAGTGGTGGAACATCAATCTGCCCCCGAGTGTACCTAACATATAGAGCGGGACAGACTGTCAGATCCAGTAGCGGCGGAACACCTTCAATTAAGGGGTTGGGGGTGGGGGGGGGGGGCACCGCCGACTTTTGGTCCCATTCTTTCCATGCAACGCCCATAGGGTTAATATTAAAATGCCAAAATCAAAGGGGGGCACGGTGCCCCGGTGCCATCCCGTTCCGCCGCCTATGGTCAGATCAGAGGAATATGGGCGCGGACAGACCAGCATATCCAGGCAGAGCGAAGCCGGTCAGGGAGAGTGATCCGAGGAGGGGTCAAGCAGACTCCCAGAGAGACTCCCACTCAGACTCCCAGAGAGACTCCCAGAGAGGGAGGGAGGGAAATCAGCCAGGAGAGAAGGATCTTTATTGACGGGTTGGCATTAGGGACAAGCGAGAGGGGAGGGGGAAGGAAAAATGTGGCCGGCTGGAGACAATCCACTGTGAAGAGACAACTCTCACCTTCCAAAGGCAGAGTTATATCTTGCTGCTGCCAAATGGGAGAGTGGATTAGGTACCTATTGACTCACGGCAGTTGTTCGCTTGCAGAAGCTGTAATTATAGTAACTCTGTTATGTCCCGCAGGTTTTGGCGGTATGTTCTGGCCGGCCAGTGGACTCGGACTGCCACCGATGGGCGTTACCTCCCTGCCCGGCGCGGAGACGGCCGCCCGACTACCGACCGGGACCGACTCGCCCGGGCCGCTCAGCTGGACAGCTCTCCGCGAGCTGGCGCTGCTCCAGTCCACTCTGTTCAGTCTGCAGCACCAGCAGCTGCTGCAGCTGGGACTGATTCAGCAGCTGCAGAGCCAGCTGCAGCTGCCCGCGCACGACTCCGACTCCGAGTCGATCGCAGAGGATGGTGCGAGCATCACTGACTCCGACTCAGTCGCACGGCCGGCAAACACCGAGTCTGGTGCCGGGGAACAGAAGTCAGTCGGCGCAGACCGAGATCCGCCGGGAAGCGAACGAAGCCAGGCAAATATTACGCATATCAAACCGGAGTGCACCTCGCCGACCGGCCAGCAGCTGTCACTAGAGAACGAGCTCTCCGTGACCGCGGACCGGGCTCAGTCACCGCCCGTGTCGGAAGCCGCGCAGTGCCGGGAGGCGAGGTCAGGAGACCCGGCGCCGGCCGGTGGCTCCGACAGCACCGTGACGCTCGCCGAGCCCGGTCGTTCGGCGCCCCTCAGCTCGCTGGCACTGCTGCAGAGGAGCACCCAGCAGGTACTGGATAGCGCCACTCGCACGCTCGGCGGTAGTCTGGCTGACGCCCTGTCTGCCGCCGACGGGCCGGCCGGCCGGCGCGACCCGCAGCCCAGCTCGGCCCGGCACCGCTGCCGCTACTGCGGTAAGGCGTTCGGCAGCGACTCGGCGCTGCAGATCCACATCAGGTCGCACACCGGGGAGCGGCCCTTCAAGTGTAACATCTGTGGCAACCGCTTCACCACCAAGGGCAATCTGAAGGTGCACTTCCAGCGGCACGTGGCGCGCTTTCCGCACGTGCCAATGAGCACCGAGCTGGTACCGGAGCACCTGGACGCGCTGCACCCGCCGCTGTTGGCGCGGCTGGGCCAGCTGACACCGCCGCCTGAGGTCGGCCCGCCGCCACTCGAGGTCGGCCCGCCGCCGCTTTATGCGCGTACTCTTCACGAGCCGGCAAAGCAGCCACTGCCGTCAGTCTCAGAAAGCTATCGAGCGGCTGTGCCGGTCCAACGGGGGAAGAGAGCAGAGAACCCACCACCGCTGGCCGAGCAGCTGCTCCGACTGGAGACGCTGTGCCGTCTGCTGCAGCCGCCGCAGAAGCCGCCGCCGCAGCACCAGGAGAAAGACCACGGACCGAGAAAACGCCGGGACCGAGAGCCCACTGCGCTGAGGGAGAGACCAGAGGAGAGGGGCGCCGCAGTGCCTCGAACTGAGTTCCGACCGAATGCGCTGGAGGACGAAGAAGGAGGGATGGACACCGCTAAAATCAAGCGGGTCAGAACACCCTGCAACGAAAAGAGCGGGATAACACTGACTGATCTTGCGATAAAAAATGAGCCACAAGAAGAGACTCCCGTTGAACCCAGTGAATATTTCCGTGCCCGTTCGATGATGGATCGGCACCGTGTCTTTGAGTGCCGTGCCGAGCTCGTTAGGCCTGGGTACGGCTGGGCACCCGCTTCTGCGGCCGTGATGCGGTGCGGTGGGGGCTCTCCGCTCGCCGTACCGAGGCCTGACCCCTCCGGCTCCGACTGGGAGGCACTGAGGCCGAGTCCGGTCGCCTCGGCCGGCGGCAGCCAGTGTTCTGTGTGCGGTCGCGTGCTCTCGTGTCGGTCAGCGCTGCAGATGCACTACCGAACACACACCGGTGAGCGGCCGTACCGGTGTCGGGTGTGCGGCCGTGCCTTCACCACCAAAGGCAACCTGAAGACGCACGTAGGCGTGCACCGGGGACGGGCGCCGTCGCTGCCGCGAACCACCCCGTCGCGAGTGGTAATGAGGTCAACAGACGTGACTGTTCCATCCTCGTCCGACCGGCGAGCTGATACGAGTGGGATGGTCAGCACGGGCCGGCCGGCGGTGCTGGACCTGACCCGGAGCGTGGCGACTAGCCTCCCGCACGGTGAGGTCGCCGGCCGCCGCTCTACCTGCACCGAACGGCACGGTGCCGAGGACTGCGGGACTGATGACCGTATCCGTCACTAATTCACTAACCAGCAATTGGCTGGCGTTTGTATTGCGTAGTCAAATTTATCTATACCAGTGACTGCATACGTAGAGGCTCAGGCATCAATTCCAAAGTAATCTTGGAGGCATCCAAACGTTCTTTCTTTTAGATTGTACTTTGTAGACCGTTCATTTGTATTGGAACTTTTAGGAACTGTGGTTTTGTGTATCATGGTATCATGGTATAGCCCGTTTATTTTACAGTGTTGATGAATGTAAGAAAATACGACAAGTTACAGTGGTGGCGGAACACCTTCAATAAAGGGAGGGGGCGGGCACTGCCGACTTTTGGTCCCATTTTTTTTTTTTTGCATGCAACCATCATGCAACGCGGAACGGAACGCTCATAGGGCTAATGTTAAAATGCCAAAATCAAAGGGGGCACGGTGCCCCGGTGCCCCCTCTCTGTTCCTCCGCCTATGAAAAGTTATGCATGCATAATCATCAATTATGTTCATAACCAAGAAGTTAAATATGCAGAGTCAACAGTTATTACCGTTATTACGTGGTTTGTATAGATAATGAGTGACAATATAAAATATTGTAGCAGCATTTCTTGTTTGCCCAATGGAACGCAAATAATCGAACCAGACTTTGCCTTCTAAGACTAGTTTCATGAGTTTTTATTTCCCAAATATTAGTTTTTATCTTATTTTTGAATAGTATTGCAGTATGGCGCCTATGATGGCGCCGCCTTGATGGCGCCTAATGTTCTTGATAAACCGTCTTGATAGCTGATTGCGGCGATTCCTGTGCTTGTGTGACGTGTAAATATTTTTTTTTTCTTGTGTGCATTGTGTGGTTTTGACGGTTTTAGGAAAATTTTTCGTCTGTATTTTTTATCGGTGAGTCTGGGTGAGTCTTAAATAAATCGACAATATGGTATATTGATCGATAGAATGGTTTGAAATGCATATGCATGTGTAACGTAACCCCTAGATGGCTTTGGCACTCAATTCTCATTGATAAACCGTGGCTTTGGGTTTGACAGTTTGGTTGGGTTCTGCCCTGTCAACTTATATGGCCTTGGCCCTGTCGTTCCAATTCAAAGTCCAATAAATCTGTAAATCTGCTGAGCAAAGGCTGAGTCCCATTCCATTTTTATCACAATCAACACTTAAATCGGAGGCTGCCAAGTGCCAGTATTCTGTTTTTTAAAAGCCTCCAACAATGACAAGCTAAAAGAACTGCACACAAAGTAACTGCAATGGAATTAGTCAGGCTTGGTAGTATCATGGATGTTGGATACCTACTCCCTATTCCCAAACACTTGCGCCGGCGACCAAGCAGCCGCCCTGGTGGCAGAGCGCTGAAACATCGATGTTGAGTGCAATGGCAGCCGCTGCACCGGCGTGTGTGAGGAAAATGAGGTAATGGAGAGCTTCAGGCGAGCTTTAGCCCATAAGACACAATTTCAGACACTTTGAACACATTTTTAGGGTGATCTTTAGTCCTCTCTAATAATGATTACCTTATGAAATGCACTGGTAGATCCAGAAAGGTGGTCCAGGATGCTGATGGGGATACCCCTAAAAAAAGATTCTGAATTTCAAAAAGTCACTGGATTTGATTCCTTATGCACTCCTCTGCAGTTTAGAACAAACTTTTCCTTATAAGAATTGTCAAGTTTGAGTTTTGTTTTATTGTCAAACAAGTACAAATTTTTGCCGCCTTCAGGCGCTGCAAAGTGCAGGGGATCTGGGATTTGCAACAAATTCCCTCCCCCAGATCCACCAGCAATGGAATAACATTGTTGACACAGCTTTCAGCTGCTTTTTCCCCTGAATCATGCCAGATTCACTGACTAGAATAATAGAATCATGCTGTGAAACAGGTCATTGTTTTGAAATGTTCTCTGAATGTAACCAGCATGTCCACTAAGTGCTAGTTACCTTTTTTTTTACTTGCTAGTAAGTAACACACCTTGTCAACTAGGTAGCTTTGATGGTCTCCATCCACTGAGTCAGTTAGCAGGGGAAACGCTCAAGGAATGATTGAGGAATATGATGAACCCTGAGCTGCCTTGCATCACAAGGAGTGCCACTTGCATGAAATTGAGGGCATTCATCAACATGATATTACATGCAATTGATGTGCCACTGCTGCACCACCACTGTGCTGGATTAACAGTCTCTCTACCTACTATTAAACAATGAGAAAGGACAGCATTGTATTAAAATCAGCAGATACTTGATAAGCTATAACTTGTAATTAGGCATTTGATGAAGTTCAACCTTTATTTGTATATGATGTTCTTCTGGTTTTTAATTTAGATTGGGATGGAGGACCAAACAGAACACTGATTGTGATGTTAATTATTATGAATATGGGACTTTCAAAAACCATAGCTGTTGACAATGTATCTCATTGGTTTGCCTCTCTGCTTCTGTCAGCAGGTGAGGCAGCTGTGATTTTTGCCAATAGAAGAGACAGGCGCCAGTGCCTGCTGTCACCTCATCTGAGGAGCCTGGGCAGCAGTGATGTCTGCCAGCTCGTCTGAGGAGGCGGCGCAACGGCGCGAGCTGGGACAGCTGGTCCGCCAGCTGACCGAGTCCGGCCTGCCGCAGCTGGACGCGCAGCTGGCGCGCCGCGTGCGCCAGCTCTGCCGCCGCTCGGAGCCGCTGGTGGACGCCGCCTACGAGCTAACGCTGCGCCAGCTGCGCCGGCCGCACGCCGAGCGCCGGCTCTCGGCGCTGCAGCTACTCGACGAGCTGTTCCGCCGCTCGCACCGGCTGCGGCAGCGCGCCGTGGCAGACCTCCAGCTCATCATCGACCTGTGCTTCGAGACGGCGGGCCCGCTGCCGGCGCCGGCGGCCGCCGCCCGCCGCCTCACGGCCGCCGCCGCCGCCGCGCTCCGTCACTGGCACGACACGTACGCCGACGGCTACAAGAAGCTGGCCGTGGCCTACCGGTTCCTGCAGCAGGTGAGGAAGGAGACACGATACCGTGCAGGCGCTGCCGCGCCGGTAGACGTGAAATTCGCAGTAACTAGCCCGTTAGCTGTGACACGTGCGAGCCGCCAAGTGGCGTGGACCGTTCTAAGACCTTTGCCTTTCTAAATCGGCCTCATTGAATTACATCTACACAATGGAATCCACTGACATTAAAGTCATAACTTTTTTTTTTAGTTCTTCAGACATTTTTTTTTGCTGAGGTTTAATCACTAGAGGTAATCACACAGGTAAACGTTTTCTCGTGTTGACACTCATTAACTGTCTAATGTGTACGCATGTGTCGCTACAGAACCGTCCGGGCGACCTGCTGCCGTCCCGGGCGGAGGAGGAGGCTGCGCGCCGGGCGGCCGACGCCGAGCGGCTGCGTCTGGAGCGGCTCAAACAGGCCAAACTCGACCAGCTACAGCAGGAGATCGGCGAACGGCGAGACGAGATCGTCAGCACCATGACTCAGGTGGAGAGCTGTTTCAGCCTGCTGCTGCCAGACGTGGCCCTGCTGGACGCGGGCGCGGACTCGGGGGAGGACTCGGACGCCAGTGACGGGGAGGTAGAGGAGGTGGCTGGACTCGTCGATGAGAAGGAAGGAGGGAATGTGGAAGGAGTAGACTCCGGTGACCCGGGTGAACCAGAGGCCGACAATCTGCCCTACGACCCGAACTGGGCGGGCAGCGCGCTGCGCGGACACGGCCAGCTCTCGGGCCGCCACCGTGTAGAGGTGACGTTGCCGGCGCGCCCCGAGCCCCTGGCCATCACTGACGATAACCGGGCGGTGGTGGAGACGCTGCGAGGCCTGGTGACGGCCGTCCGCCGCTCGCAGCTGCCGACCGTGCAGCGGTGGATTCAGCTCACCGAGTCAGCCGGAGGTGAGTGCCGACACAGACCCACCGGCCGGTGCCGGCGACAGAGGGGTACCGTGTCCGGAGACGGATTGTCATGCGGTACCGAGTCTAGGCGTGCTTTTATTGTCTTGCATGTCAAGGACCTGAACTGAGACTTTGTTCAGTTTGGTGTAATTTGCCTAGCGAAAATTCATCAAGCTATACTTAACATATAACGATAGTCGTAAACGATTTGTGCAAAGCGACACTTAAATTAAGGTGCCTCTCTAATATAATGAAATCGATTTGATGGCAAACACTATGCCCTATTGTTTCAACCGTAACTGCCGCTCGCTTTGACTGTGCCCAACTGCTGACTGTTCCGCCTCCCCCACAGGCGGTGACGATTCGCTGCGGCAGCTGATGGCTGTCCGGGACGCGCTCGGCTCGGCCCTGCGCCGGTACGAGGCGCTACAGCTCAGCTCGAGGCGCACAGACGGCGCCGGCAGCTCCAGCGACGACAGCGACTGGGAGGAGGTGCCCGATGCCGAGGACGCGTCGGCGCTGGTGGCGCGGGCCGCTTCCGGTACAGACTCTCGGCCCGCACCGAAAACGACCGTACGGAGTTCCACCGCGGTGGCCAGGCCTGCCGAGCATATCAAGTCTTCAGAGCTGACAAAGGCCGGTGTGGGGCAGACGAAGGTCGGAGAAGAGTCTACAGAGACCGGAGAAAAGCCGGCGAAGCTACCTGAGGCTGGAGTCGAGGCGGTGGAGCCGGGAGAGGCCGATGTCGGGTCAGACTCGCCGCCAGACTCCGGCTCGGCAAATGAGCGCGCGGCGCGTCGGGCACGGCTGCTGGCGCAGGCTCCACGGCTGGGTTACAGCGCCGACCTAGTGACATGGGAGCGCGGGCCGGGCCCGGCCGCCGGCCCGGCGCCCCACCAGTGCGAGACGGCGCGCGTGTGGCGCAGCGCCGCCGACGTGGCTCCGCCGCCGGCCGAGTCGGCCGACCTGCGGGTGACAGAGTTCAGCGGCCAGTTCGAGCCGGTGGAGCACCGGTGCGGCGCGCGGCTGCCCAGCGGCCGACTGTGCCCGCGCGCCGACCGACACAAGTGTCCGCTGCACGGGCCCATCGTACCGCGAGACGAGCACGGCGAGCCACTGAGCGCCGAGCTGCGCCAGAAGGAGCGCGAGGCGCGCGCCAGAGGAGAGGACTGGCAGGTGAGTGGCTGAGAGCCGTTAACGTTGACCTGACCTTAATGTATTACTGACCTGACCAGGCCTTAGCGCATCACGTTCCTGAACTGACCTAACCTTTGCTGATCACTGCCCTGACCTGACCTTAGTGTATCAGACATCATTGCCCTGACCTGACCTAACGTGACCCAAGTCCTGACCCGACCTAGGAGTGAACACGACAGAACGATCCGTTAATCATTGCGTATATTGAGTCATGAGTGTTTCGTGGTTCGTCTCCTTTTGGTAGCGCTCATGTTAACATGCTTGGGGGTAAGTAAATGTTGTTTGACCGCCGATGCAGCGGTGCGTGCAGTTCGTGTACACCTCACCGTTACCGCCCGCCCGTTACAGGACCCGCGCCTGCTGGCGGAGCTGCGCGTCACCACCGGTCTGGACCTTACGGTGGGCCGCGGCCGGCGGCGGCGGCGGGCCGGCGGTCCCGGGCCGGGCCTGACCGACCTGCGCCGGCCGGCCTCGGCCCGCCGCCGACTGGCCGACAAACTGTTCAGCGCCGGCACCGTGCGCCGGCTGGCGACCGCTCTGGACCGGCTGGACCGGCGCCGGCACGGAGACAAGTTCGGCGACCAGTTCAACTACCAGGTGACGGGCCGGTGACCGGTCAGCTCTCCAGTGACCGTCCGGTGACCGGTCAGCTCTCCAGTCCAGTGACCGTCCGGTGACCAGGTGACCTCACCTGGGAATTCCCTGTGGTCACTCGGTAACCGCCTGGGACGGCGGTTAGTCGGTCTCGCGCTGGGATACACGCGGACGTGTGTTGCGTCACGGGTGACCATCTGACACGTCATGGGGAGTTCTGCCCACGACACTGTGTATCGTTTTATGTCGCGCCATCATAAAACTGACGAGACTGACTGACAATATTGACAAACACTGACATTGTATCTTATTGAAATGTTGTGATACCTGATGCTTTACCTCAACTTCATTAACGCTGGCCACTTCTATAAAGCTTTTTGTAAGGATGATTTTAAATGTTGTATTTGAGGATATCGTGAACCCGAGTTTTATCGGGTATAAGGTATAATGATATGAATATTTTCTACAGGCTACATAGCCGAGATAGCCGAGAGATTGCAGGCCTAAGCTAGTAATTGTAGTTGTAGTTGAACTATATAGTTGAGTGAGTTACATGCAGTGCTGCCTCGTGAGAGGGGGCATTGTGAAACTGAAAATTCATTCGTACCCGTCAGTCACACAGTACCATCACTGTTCACCGAGTCATTGGCTGGAACCGCTTCAAAACCGCCTTACCGGCTTGAAACGCCACCGTGATACATTGAACGCCAAAGTCAAATGAAATAAATTCATTCATTGATATTGTTGTGTTTCGACTTTGCGTAATCAGCTGGCCATACGACACCATTTATGTGTTTGTTGCGTTTTCTTGATCCGACTGAAGATCAGGTCGAGGTTTGAACTACCGTGGGAGAAGAGTGTGTACTCGCTCTTTGCTAGTGCTCATCGCCATATTATCTTCTGAACCATGTCAGTATTTCCCGTATCACGTAAAAAGGAGCAAGCATCCCCGCGAGACTAATTGTAAATGGGCTTTGGTGGATTACATCGTCCCTTGTGCGAGTGAAAGATGATCATCCACGCTTCACAGCCATCCAGTGACCTGCCCCTAGCCTGGGGGGAGGGGGACATTGGTCAGACATTGGGAGTTGCACGACCCGTTCAGACTCACTGGAACTTTAGGGACCGGCCTTTACTCATCAAGCTGATGGGGGCGCGCTGCTGGGACTAAGGTGAACAGGTTAAACACACTGACCGTACAGCATGCTCTGGAAGCAGCAGGACGAAATAAAAATCCCTTCGACATCAAAACATTGACTATTTCGAAACACTTTACTGCACAGTACACATACAAGCATCGATCACATTGCCAGCACTGGCCAGCGTGAACATTCATTGAAGCATTGCGAATGTTTGATGACCGCTCCACACCAATTCAAAATGACTTTACTCCGTGTATCACTAATCTCAAAAGCCGTCTGTCATGCACGACTGGAAACGTTTATCACTCATGTTCCCATGTCCTCACCACTTTTCGAGATATCACAAAATAAATACGCCACTGTTCGCAACCCGTCGTAGCAGATTGCGGTCGACCGAGGTGGGTCCATAATCGGGAGTGGGGTAAGTGGGATGGGGACCTCAGTGCTATAGAACTGAGACTGAGTGATCTCTGACTAGCTAAATTCGGCTGGGGTTTGAGTCAAGTGGTGCTGAGGTTGTTGTTGTTGTTGTTGTTCCGGCCGTCGGGCCCGGTGGGCCCACATGGGGGGCCCGGAAGGGCCCCAGCCCCCTCGGAGGGCGACACTTGCAGCAGTGGTGCTGCGGTCGGAATGTATGCCGGTCCTGAAGAGGTGATGGGATATGTGCATAGCCCTTGTGGGCCGGAGTCAAGTGGGGTTGGAATGTGGGCCGAATTTGGGACCAGTGAGTGCGCAGTGTGTACTGGTCTGTGGGGGGGGGGGGGGGCTCGGGTCCCGTCTACGTGGGGCTGGGGTCGCGCTGCTCGGCCAGCACGGCCAGCACCTTGTGGACGCGCGGCAGCAGCTCCTCGCGGCGCCGCTGCTGGTCGGCCGCCGTCGCCGCCTTGCTGCCGGCCAGCAGCCGCAGGTGGAACTCAGTCCGGAACAGGTCATCACGCGGCCCGCCGTCGCCGTCACCGGCCGCCGGGCGGGCGGCCAGCGCGGCGCGCGCGTTGCGCCGGTAGGTGTCGCACTCAGTCGCCATGCGGCGGCCCTCGGAGAGCAGGTGGAGCGCCGCGTCCAGCTGCTCGGAGACTGGCTGCTCAGCGGCCAGCGGCTCCTCCAGCAGCGCGGCCAGCGGCGCCACGTGCGGGATGCACGTGTTGGGCGCCTCGTCGGCGGTGTGCGCGGCGCGGCGCACCCACGGGGCCAGCTGCGCGTCGAACTGCACCGCCGAGCTGGTGAACCGCTGCCGCACCTGGTGCCAGCTGGTGTACAGACGCTGCACCTGGAGGCGGGGAGATTTACTGATCAGAGCCGCGGGCTGTCTGGGGCGACCAAGGGTTTTCTAATATCGCTCGTCTTCTTGGTTGTGCTCAGTCCCCGCTCGGCTATGGAATCAATACGATTGGAACGAGAGATAGTGACTTGCCGCGCTTGTTCGGCGTGACCAGAGCTTGTGAGGCCAAGATCTCACCTGTGAGGAACAGAGGGCCTGTACGACGTTGGCGAACCCGTACAGGTTTCCGAGCGCCGTTTTGGTCTCGATGGCTACCTCGATCCACCGGTTGATGGTCCTCACACGCTGGTCGTCATCCTCTAGTGAGACGACCGAGGCGATAACAAACGCCGAGAACCACTCGGATCTGGAACAGAGAGGGGCGGCTGGTGACTGGGTGAAACTAGTGATGGTGACTCACCGTGACTGGCGGGGACAGTGACCAGTGACTGGGGGAGAGGTACATAGTTACTGGTGATTGGCAGAGGTAGTGACTGATGACTGCAATAGCGGTGACTGGTGATAACTGGAACAAAGAAAGGCACAGCGGGACTGATGCAGTCTAGCACACTCACACGCAGAAAGAGAGAATATCGGATCTCAGACTGCTGCAGCTGTACACCGGTGTGCAGAGACCTGTGCTAGAACGTGCTCTGTACTCGCCCCTCCAGCAGGTCCTGTCCCCCTCTCCACCACGTTCTACACCCACCTCTCCAGCACGTCCATGCGCAGCTGCTGGCCCTGTGGCAGGGTGAGCAGCTCGATGCCGCAGGTGACGCCCAGGCCGCGGTCGCGCCCGTCTCCATGCAGTAGGCGCAGGTCCCAGGCGGTCAGCGTGGCCGCCAGCTGTGCCGGCTCCGTCTCCAGCAGCTCCATGGTGACGCCACGCAGTGCCGTCCGATCCAGCGGCGCGTTGTGCGTCAGCGGCAGCAGTATCGTCTCGAACGCGCCCACGTCGAACGCCGAGGCCGGGCTGAGCTCGACCGGCGCCAGGGCGGGGGCGGGCGGCGGGCGGTTGCCCGCGGCGCGGTCAGCCGCCGAGTCCCCGGAGCCGTGTCCTGAGTCGGAGCCGGACCCGGAGCCGGAGCCGACCGCCGCCGGCGCCGGCTGCTCGGGGATGTCCGGGATCTCGGCGTACTCGCGGCCCTCGAACCGGTCCGGTTTTGGCGGCGGCGAGCGCTGGTCTGCCAGCAGCCGACCCGGCTTCTGGTAGAGCGGCGCGGCCGAGAGGCGCGGCAGCGAGCCACTACTGCAGAGCCGCGGCGCGCCCGAGGACGACAGCTGCTCGGCGCTGTCGGCCCGCCGGCCCGAGCGGCCCGTCAGCGAGCGGCGCCAGCTGAGACGGCCGCCGGCCGGCGCCGGCGTCTGACCGCCGCCGATGGCCGCCGTTCGGTTCACAGGGCGCCGGATCCGGGCGCCCGTGGCGGCTGACACGGCGCGCTCCACACCCACGTAGCTGGTGATCAGGTGCGGGATCGTCTCGTACGGCTCGTCCTCCAACACAAACTGCTCCGTCTCGTATATGGTGTCGGGGTTCATCCGCACCTGAGGGAGGAATTCGTGTCGTGTCACGACGCGTCTGCAATAATCTCTCTGACGATTGACGAATCATCGTCTGGGCTGGACGTGTTTAGGAAAAGGGCTGCGACATATCCCACAACCACGATATATCGAGATTATCCTCATGTCACCATCCTCTGACACAAAATCACTCATGAGCTGTCTCAGACTTCCTTTCTGACGTTTCCTTGCCAGATGTGTCATAGTCTGCGGAGGTACGAACTAGGAATCGTCATGGTCCGCGGAGGTACGAACCTTGTTGACCATGAAGTGGACGTTGTTGCCGTTCCAGCGGCAGCTGAGGACGAACTCTCCGGGCTGGGAGGCGCTCTCCCGAACCAAGAAATCGCCGTCGGAGAAGAGCAGTTCCTCGGCTTCCATCCTACCCAGCCGGCCATGGAACCTGCCAAACACAGACGTATCGATGATATTTATACAATATGCGCACTATTTAAACAGTATAGATACTTGCAGATCTATTCAGACCATACACTGTTCTGTTCTAAGATTCAGACGCACCGATGACTGGGACACGTGACTCTCACGCACCAGACCGACGACGGCCTCTTCCGCCATCCCGCACCTGGGACCGGAGCTGTTCCTGTTGCACGATAATATTATAAACTCACCAGGCGTGTGAGCGCAGGTCGGAGGAATCTAGAGCGAGCTCCCACTCCAGTGTGACGCCGGTAGGCTCGTGCCCACCCCCGGCCGGCTCCTCATGGTGCGCTACAGACCGCGGTGACACCTGACGACAGCGGGACGGGAGTGAGTTGGGCCCGCCGCACTGCTGTCCATTCAACCGGGGCACTGTCCGTACCAGTACGGCCGCTCGTATTGCCATCCGAGTCAGTACTCTTGGCGATATGGCTGTTCGTAGCGGCACCTTATGCTATCCTTTCCATAGTCCACAGTCCGTGCTGTTGCTCGTAATATCAAGTGCGTCCATCCGTCCATAATACCGTCGAATGCCATCCGCACTATCTGTTGTCCGTAAAGTCGTCCGTACGGCTATCCGTACAGCCGTCAAATGCCGTCCGTTCTGGTGCTATCCGTACCGCCGTCCGAGCGCCGGGGCTGTATCAGTTACGTTATCTGAAAACAAACTATCGAGTGGTACAGCCAACGAGGGAATATCTGGGAGCCGGTGACGGGACGGGCAGTCAGTGTTCACACAGCTCGGAGTCACTGAGTGTGAGCTGGCACGGCCGTGGGATACCAAACCCTGATCTTCCTGGAGACCAGACAGAAAGGAAGACTTCACATGCATTGATTCACAGGTTCACATGCACAGTTGCATTGACCAATAGCGAAGGTCTCATGGCATTCAAGGCTGAATGCTGAAAAATCAGCCTGGTTCTATAGAGTAATTGCTGAGATAATGGGAAGTGATGAGCACTGAAATGAAGGACGGGCACGTTTAGCCTGCGGTGGTCGTGCGTAAATATTGATACAGTTGGTGCATGACCACGGAGGGCGGACGACAGTGCGGCGCCACTGAATAGATGACATATACACAGTTTATAACGGCACGAGGCGGGGACTGGGCCAGACGCGACGTGGTCACGATTGAACTTTGCCGGGGGATGCACTGATTTGAGGGATGCACTGGGGATGCACTGAGGGTATGGGTCGAACGCTTCCAAGATGTGACGTTGAATAAAATTTCAATCATTTCTCTCCCGAGTTACTCAGGGTACGTTCTCCCAGCCTCGCAGGCCCTCAGCACTCTCCTCTTCCCTGGCAGTTACCCGGCACTCACCATTCTACAGCCGAGCTGCCACCGCCGCGGTCCGTCCCTCAGTCACCGCCAACCGGCACTTTACTCTGTCTGTGCCTTCCGTACCCTGCCAGCCCGGCGCCGCCCGCTTCCGTACTGCAGCCCCCTCTGATACGGCGCCGCCCGCCGCGCCGCCGTCCGTGACGTCATCGATCAATGAATGACGTCACAATGACCGCGCCGCCGGCGGCGCTATCGGCAACGCTCGAGGGGGCAGGGGGAGGGTCTGGGGTCTGGGTAGAGGGGGTACGGGAGTCGGCCGGTCGAGGTAACCGGAGTAAACATTTCCTGCTAATGTGTCTCGCCGGCGCGGCGGCTCGGTCCCGCACCGGCGTGAGAGCGCTGTGTCAGAAGTCAGCCCTTGGGCCATGTTGCATGGTGACCCAACTTCCAAGTAACCCATACTCCACACTCCACAGCATATGCTGCACAATGGTCCGATATTCAATCCACAAACATTTCTCCACTACTGTGGTGGATAGTCCTTTCCATAGTGCAGTTGTTGAGAGCTTACACAGCACGCATTTTATGTCCTCTGGCATGTGTGGACAGACGGGCGCAGCTAGCGAGCGCGAGACAGCAGTTCATCATAGGCAGTCACGCTGCAGTGTTCTCACTACACACTAGCCAGATATCAGTGTAATATATTGTAGGCTACGTACGACGGCTCAAATACACCAGCACAGCAGTGCAATGGACGGATGCGAGTGAGATCGTGGGTTCAGCGGCTCTGCACAAGCCGTATCACAATGTTCAGTGCGACATGACTGACCTCCGTTCACTTTGGTAGCGTCTTTTGTCACAAAATAATTAGTAATATTTGCGTTGACACAGGTAAATGACTAGCACAATATCAGTAGTGCAATCACAGGTAATTACAAGTGACCAGTAGGTCGTTCAAAACTGTCCTGTGAGCTTGTACGAGACAGTGGCACAGACTGGACGGGACTACACACCCGTGGGGTATTTGTTTACACTCCACGCAACAGTCTAATGCAGAAATGCATTAGACTGCTGAAAGACCGGCTGCAGTTGCCGGTCAGTGGAATAACTGTGTGCGTAGAGCCCACCCAGGCTCCCCAGCGGACCCGAGCGGACCAACATCTAACGGGGACCCACCGGGGCTGCCTGAGTCCAGAGAGCAGCCGGGGTCAGCTGGACAGCCGACAGGATCCAGCCAGGCAGTCGACAGAGCCGACAGCAACCGACAGAAGTCAGCCAGCCGACAGTCACCACAGGCTACCGTTTGTAACCCTTCAAGCTGTCACAGACAGGAGACCATCTCGGCAGACCACAACGGTTTACACAGTGACACCTTCCGCACTGGCACGATAAGAATGTTGCTCACAGCGTATGGACGGACTAGACAACAATGAACAACGTGAGATCAATGAGTCATCACTGAGTAGCACAGCTACATTTCGTGACAAAGCATAGCACAAAACTACGTAACCTTCACGTACAGCCCTCTGCAAACTGCGTGGTAGGTATTCTTTTTTTTTCGACAAAACCGAGAATAACGCGGATGCTATGCTATCGGTCACCCGGAAATCGTAACAGCGAGACACGCGAGACTCCGCACCTTAGATTGGCATCACCATCGTATTCATTTTCCATCCAGTTTGGCAACAAAACCCAAAAGTTTATATTTGCCCCAAAACAAACTTTTGCATTTTGTTGCCACGCAAAGCATATACTTTGTTTAGTGATAGACCCAATCGAAGGAGTGTAGCATGGCGCATCTATGTGCAATGAGTTCCGACCGACTGGTAGGGGAGAGTGGGGAAAGATGCCCAGGGTTTGACTATGTCATTTATTATTCGAAAATGACGATCGGAAAGCCAAAACTTGGAGTCTCAACGGAAGCCGACATGATTTTTCTCCAAAAATATCACACTTTCGTGCCTGAAATATGATAACTTTTTTTTGCTATTAAGCATTTTCCCAAAGAAGTGAAAGGGGGCATCTTACCCCACAGGGTGGAAAAGACGCCCCCTGGCGTTGGGTAAGATGCCCCCCTGCACTATAAGTGGCATAAATGGGCACGTGAATCGCCTGAACTAATCAGTAGTCCCTTCGAGCCTGCAGTAGACACCAAACGTCATCGTAAGGGCCCTCAAAAGTAGTCGTAAGGGGCTTCAGAGGTCATCGTTAGGGCCATCATAGTCCAGCGTGGCCAAACAAGCCTCCGTGGTGGCGTTCGGACTTCGGAGACCACGGGGCCCTTATAGATCTTCATGATGCTTGAGGGCCCTCGAGCCCATCGTGGGGACCTCAGATGCCAGCGCGGCCCGTGGAGCCAACGTGGGAGCCCTCAAAGGATGTCGTGAGGGGCCCTGGAGCCAATAATTGGGTCCACAGAGGCCGTTGTGAGGGCTCTCAGAGTCAGATGCCGCCCAAAAAGTCGCTGTGTGGGCCGAGAGACCGGCATGGGGAGCACCCGACCGTACCGGACTCTCAATAGCCCCAGATCGGCTTTTGTCTCTCATCACAAGTACGTAATAAATGATTTGACGGGCTGCTTGAAGGACAGCCTACGGATTTAGGGGGGCGTCTTTCCCCATCAGGACAGGGGGCATCTTACCCCAAGGTACCGAAGTAACATTAAATCAGCACAATTTTTTAGCCATAAAACTACACCCTGAAACAAACTCTTTGGGATACAGTACAAGCATGTAAATGTATCACGACTATAGCAAGGGACGCAAAAATTATCTACCTTCTTTGATATTTACAATGTTTTGACGCCAAAATATTTTTTGAAAGCAGCAAATAAAAAACATGCAATCACCAGCCAGCCGTTGCCCAACTGAGCTTCGCAAATTTTTGTGCAGTTAACAAGGCAAGCTTCCGCTTTACGCTAAGAACATTAATTTCCAGGTTCGATTCTTTGTTTCCCCGCTAGAGGGGGTGGGGCGTCTTTCCCACCCTGGGCATCTTACCCCACTCTCCCCTAACATAGTCTTTGAGCTATTACCGTTTTTTCGAAAACAAAAAATACATACCACGCAGTCTGCTGAGGGCTGTACTTCTTGACGAGAAGTCGCCCCGGCTCCACTGACCGCGGGCCCACGACTGACCGACTATCCGTCAGACTCTCAGACTGTCCGGCAGACCTGACAGCGTCTCTGCCGAGTGAGTCTCACACTTCGTAGCCCCATTTGTACTGGTTGAGACAGGCATTCAGGTCGGAGAGCAGCGAGCGTCGGTAGCGGCGACACAGGGTCTCCATGTACGGCAGCTGCTCCCGAGTCTGGTAGCCGACAATGGGTGTCATCTGGCGGCGAACACGCACAGACGCCCACGTCAGTCAGGCCAGAAGGACACAAACATACACCGGTCAAGTCATGGAGATGCACTCTCATCGTTTCAGTCAGCTTCTGGGAAAACAAACATAAGTTGTATGTGCTACAGAGACTCACGACATACATCCGCACAACTTCGTCTCACAAGTAGAACGCAGTCATTCCCCAGTTCGCTCGCTACGGGTCAGTACCGACCCGCCCATTCCTTGGTAGCTAAAAACACCCCTTCGGAGACTTACCTTTGCGGCGAGCAGCGGCAGCGGCCGGCCGGCGGCGCGCGTCAGGCCCGTCTGCAGGTGGCGCAGCACCGAGACAGTGAAGTAGAGTACGTAGTCGGCGCCGAGCGCCACCGTCAGCGCCAGGTAGTGGCGCACCTCGGGCCACGGCAGCACGCCCAGGTAGCACTGGCGCAGCCACGGCGCGCACAGACTGCTCAGCGGCAGCCGGCCGCCCTATCGGAACAGAGGAAACGCGGTCAGCGGCGCGAGTCAGCTGATCGGGACGACTGTATAAGACAGGGCATGCTGGATTTTCACAGCAGATCATATTTCAGGGCAGACACTGGAAGCTAGTCATAACACATCAGTGGTAAATCGTCCGCGCTGTGGCTGTAAATACGTGCGCCAGCAGGTTTTTTTCCGGCTGTGTCGCCCAGTCGTCAGGGGGCACAGCCGTCCCACTCCGCCCCGCCCCGCTGACCTGCAGTGCCGTGTGCAGACCGGGCAGCTCCTGTTCCACCAGCGCGCCCACGTGGTGCAGCAGCCCCGAGAGCAACAGCTCATCAGTACACAGGTCGCGGCATCGCGCCACCTGGTTCCCGCGGCCCACCCACACGTACGCCGAGCTCGGCACGCGGAAATAGGCCGTCAGGAACTGGCGGCTCCTGGCGGCGCAGCGGGGGGAGGTCAGAGGCTGAGAGACAGTGGCGTGAGGACAGAGCGCTGACCGGACAGGATGTGCGGTCTGTGTGACAGGACAGCACGTCTGCCCCACAAACCTGTCGCTTATCATATTGTGGCATGTCACAGGGCACAGGCCGCTGGGAAAGGGAAACATAACCATCAAAGCCTGACCACCCCTTCCTCACTTAGAGACCACTTAAGCCTGGCCACTCTCCTTCAGAGGGCCGCCCCTCCCTGTCAAGGATTGTACGGCGCCGGCGCCACTCACCGCTCCAGGTTTCCGCCGTAGAGCAGGAACATTCCGGCGGCAAACCAGTGCACGCCTCCTTCGCTGCTGATCTCCCCGCAGAGCCGGCGGGCGTGCCGCAGCAGCGTCTGGAGGCTCTCCGAGACGGCCACCGAGCCGGCCACCAGTCGGTGACGGCTGCCGTACCTGACGGCACAGGCGGCGCGTCAGTACAGAACAGTTATACAGGGACCTACCTACAGAACAGTACCTACAGGGCCACGGAGCCGGCCACCAGCCGGTGACGGCTGCCGTACCTGGCGGAACAGACGGCGCAATGGAAGGTGTATAAGCCATAGAAGCTCAATACCAGTAGCATGGTTGTAGCCGTTCGACCGAGCCCAGAAAAGGGCCCCGAACTTAAGGACCTGTATTATTCACCGAGCCCAGGACACGTCATGCTCTGAGCCGACGACACGGGGCTAAAACCCAAGGACATGTGTAGGCTCGGTTCAGCCCGGCGCCGGTGTTCTGCTCCTACTACTGACTGTATGACGAGGTCGGCGGCGGCGGCGTCCGTGTCGAAGCTCAGATCCTCCTCGGTAAGACTGGAGACGGCCGGCTGAGCGCACCGCTCGGGCAGCGAGAGAGCCGCGTCCGCACCGGCGTCCATCTCCAGCAGCTGGTCCAACAGCTCCGTCAGCAGGCTCTCCTGCACGCGGGGGGGGGGGGGGGCGCAGGGCTCAGATATAGGTAACGGTACCGGGATCGATTGTTTATTGGGGCTTTAGGGCGCACCCACTAGAAGGTCATTTAGCGCCCATGTGCCGGGCTCAGATGCATACAAGGGCCAGCGTCGAGCTCAGAGACTGTGCCTCTGCGGGGCTCCTCAGATACTGTCACCTGGGCTAAGTGACGTGGCTCATTCACATATCGCCCACCAGTTGCCAGATACTGTCAGTCGGCAAACCCACTATCATGCTAAAAAAAATCACGACTCATTATTACATCTCAAGCTTCAATGTACGCTTCAGACTTCCGTGTTCAGGCAGCCTAGTCCAATTTGATTACGTACCTTCACGCCGGCGCTCCCGGTGCCGGTGAGGGTCGATTTGAGCGCGCGCCGGCAGGCGGCCAGCCACGCGGCGTCGTGCAGACTGTGGCGCGACTCGGAGAGAAAGCGCGCCAGCTCCTGCGGCCGGCGGGAGGCGGCGGCCAGCGCGCGCCGGCCGTCCGCCCGCTGACCCGCCGCCGTCACCGCGCCCAGGCCCGACTTCTTACAGCTCTGACGGAACGCGAGGGAGATGCAGCAGGTGATGTAAACATCAGGCAAATAAATACCGAATTGGTTAATAATCTGGTTATTAATGCTTCCTGTTTTTATTGCAAAAAAAAAAACACCAAAACTAGCCCCCAGACATCCGCGGGGCGGATGACATGACTCTACTGCCGTACTGGTGAGTCAGTGTGATCCATACTGACCTCCGGTCTCAGGTACTGGTGTATCAGTGTGTTCCGAGACTGACCTCTGGTCTTAGGCACTGGTGTATCAGGGACTGTTAACTGACCTCCGGTCTCAGGTACTGGTGTATCAGTGTGTCCCGTACTGACCTCTGGTCTCAGGTACTGGTGTATCAGGGACTGTCCCCGTTAACTGACCTCCGGTCTCAGGTACTGGTGTATTAGTGTGTCGGTGGGCAGGTCCACAGAGCGCAGCAGGGCTCCCGCCTGCTGTCTCAGCACAGACGCCTCGTCAATGATGTCCGGCACATCGGCTGCCGCCGGGCCATCCGTCTGGAAAGCAAACAGCCACAGTGAGCGAGGTAAACACACAAACACAGCCACTGGGAGCGAGAGGAACATGGACAGCTACTATGAGCGAGAGCGACATAATTTACGCTGAGTAAGTTGGTAAAACAGCTGATGCAGTGCGCAATAGTAATAGGCACACTACGCAGTATACAGTCTTTTTGAAGATCAAATGCAGTGCAAGTCTTATATTATTTAGCGGAAGCTCCGAGAATAGGCATCTCGGGAGTCCATGATAACCTGACAGCTACTGCCGTCTCTACAGCCTGTAACTCGTTCCCCGGTCGGCGCCTTACCTGTCCCGAGGTCAGGGTGATGAACAGTGTCCTCCCATCCAGGTGCGTACAACACATGAGCGCCAGCAGACACAGCCAGGCCGGCGAGCCGGGGTCACTGAACACGGAGCGCAGCTCCAGCGGGAGCAGCGGCCGGGGAGACGAGCGGGTCAGCAGCCACGTACCTGGGGCAGCGCGGAGGATATGGCCGATTAGAGGCACCGCGGCACACTCAACAGCCGGTAGGGTGAAGTCGAAGATCGAAATGAAATTGAATGGCAAATTTTCCTTCGGCGTAAGGCTTGAAACACGTTGAAAAAATGAAATTTGGAAAGACGTCGTCTCCATTCCCCCTCTTCAGTAAGCAAGGTCAGCTTGGGCGAGCAGTAACTGCATGCAATGGTAGTGGGAGAGAAAATTGAATTCGTGGGTGTCTCATGCTTCAATACAGACAAACAACAAAAAGTCCATCTTTGAACACCTCAGCCTCATTACACTTTTGACAAAAGGGTGTCTTGGGAAAGGCATTTGATGCCTCCTTATAATGCCGAGTGAAAATAATACACACCAGACGTATAATTGTAAAAGGCCAGTCTATTTCGGTACGAGTGACTAACTAGGTACTGACCCCAGTGGGTGGCCGCCCAGCAGGTGAGTAGGTGCGCCGTCCGCAGCGCCGGCGACTCCTCATCTTCCTGCAGCCAGCCCTCGTCGACGCCCTGCAGCTGCTCGACAGCTGCCGACAGCAGCTGCTGCAGCCAGGCCTGCTGGGGGAGCAGCGTGGCGCAGCGGCGCAGGCAGAGGAGGCCCTCCAGCGGGGCGCCGCCGCGCGCCGCGCTGCCGCCCAGCCACCGCAGCGTCGGCGAGAGAAGCTGCTCTCTGCGAGTGGAGGAGCACGGTCCGCTCAGTGCCGAGAGCCCAAGGCCAGGATAGTTACATTACTAAACCAGGGTCAACACCAGTCTCACGCCCGGAGTCGACGCGTAATCCACCGGCAGTTTTAGATAGAAGACAGCATCTTAATAGAAAAAGGTGAACAGAACTGAAGAGAAGAGGCCAGCTCAGCACTAAGTCGGCAGCTCACCTGGAGAGGACGCAGAGGGCGCGAGGGTAGCGGGCCAGCTGGCCGCACAGCGGCAGCACGTGCTCACTGAGGGCCGTCAGACCGCGACTGGACAGCTCCAGGTTGGGGTCCAGTCGGTGCAGCCGCTCGTTGAGTGTCTGCAGTAGCTCGCACATGACAAGGGTCTGCAGTCCGAGGTGGGATCGGCAGAGGCGCGCCAGCAGCGCCGAGTACGCCGCCGCCGTCTCGCCGCTCTCGGCAGAGCGGAGCGCGCGCGGCGCCGCCTGGCAGATGGCGCGCGCCAGCATGCCGGCCGAGCCGCGGTGGGTGCTGCCGGCGCGCCGGCCGGCCGCCAGCAGTCGCTGCCCGCCGGCGCCGTCTGTCAGAGCCAGCAGCAGCCGCACCACGGGCGGACAGCGGCGCGGCGCGGCGCCGGCGAACGCCCGCTGCAGCTGCTCGCACAGTTCGGCCAGCAGCGCCGGCTCCGCGCACGCCTCCTGCAGCGGCGCGGAGAGGCGCAGCGCCGGCGCCAGAGCCGCCAGCGGCAGCGGCCCGCCGCCGGCCGCGCACGCCTGCGTCACCAGCAGCTGGAGCAGCTCCGGCAGGCTGGTGCCGCCGGCGCCGCCGTCCCGCCGCGCGCCGATGGGGAACAGCGCCGCGCTGGAGCGGTACTGCGCCACACACACGAGCAGGTGCAGCGCGTGACTGTAGCAGGCCTCTGATACGGCCTCCGCCACGCGGGCGGCGTTGGCGGCGGCCGGCGGCGGCTGGGCGCGCGGCGCGTCCGGCCGGCCGCGCAGCTGCACCACCGTCAGCTGCAGCTGCAGCAGCTGCGGCGACTTGCGCAGCACGGTCACCAGCTTGTGCCGACTGAACTGGGCGTGCATCCAGTGTCGGCACCATGCGGCGGCCGGGTCGGCCAGGCAGAGCAGCGCCACCGGCAGCTGGTACAGCTCGGACAGACTGGAGAGGCCGGCGCGCGGCACGCCCAGCGTCAGCAGGTCCACCGTGTTGTCGATCATCTCCTCCACGTGACGCTCAGGGAACCGCAGCCAGGCGCGCGTCACGTACCGCTGGGGACGGGCGGGCGACGGTCGGGACCGGTCAGAAATCGACACGGACAGATCGAGCCGATAGGGGACAGACGCGGACCAACCGGAGCCAATAGTTGGCCGATGCAGGCAGACGGAGGCCACACGGGAAAAGACCTAGCCATATTGCCACCGAATAGTGGAAGATGCGCACAAGCAGAGGGAAGTTGGAAATACGTGGAAGCAGACTCGCGCACAATCAGATCTATTCACAGAGATGCGATCAGTTTGATTCTCCGAGCCACCATCATTCAGACGCAATGAAATATGAACTTCAGACCACGATGTGAAGGTATGGACATCCATAGTCCTCATGACGGTATCTCTGTCACTAAAGATTGACAGTCGTACCTGGTACTTGTTGACCATGGCCAGAATCTGGAGGGCGCGCTTTGTCTCAGTGAGTCCCACGTTGAGGCCGCGGTGGTGGGCGCCGGTCCGTCGCCGCCGCTCCACGTAGATGGTACACACCGCCTCAAGCAGGCTAAGGTATGCCTCCTTGATGAAGAAGTGCGACTCGCTTACCAGAAGGCGGGCGTGCACCTGTGGAGAGAGAGGGCGGTGTCGTCAAAGCAGCACAGCGCGTCTGGCGCGACCGTTCCTGTTTAGCGACCCGTCCCCAGCTACCCACCTGTCCAACCGCCAGTGTCACCAGTCGTCCCCAGCTATCCGACCGTCTGTTCCGCATCCCGACCCCAGCCTCCCAGTCACTCGCCCGACCCCACCCATCGAGGCGCCTCACCGGCCCAGTTCCTCAAACCGTATCCATCCGGTCCACCTATCCCTCACCTGCTGCGCGCCACCGGCCACTTCATCACTGGGGTCGAGCAGCGCGTCCTGCACGGCGGGCCGCAGCTGGCTCCAGGCCTCCGGTCCCACACTGCCGGCGGCCAGCGCCGTCTGCAGCAGCGTCAGAGACTCGGCGCGTGCCTGCGGCTCTAGTTCCGGAGCCAGCGCGGCACCCAGGCCGTCCAGGTCGGCCGGGGAAAACACCAGAGACGGGTTCAGACTGCCGTACAGCGAGGAGCCCACCGAGCGGCTGAGCGCCTCCGCCGGCAGATCGCGCACGCCGCCGGCCGCCGCCGGGTCGGATACCATATCCCGCAGCTCGTCGGCGTTCTCCAGCATCTCCCGGGCGGCGGCCTCCGTCACCTGTCGGACGGAGGGCGTCTCAGGGCGCACTCGATCTCACATCTCGGGACACACACGGTCACAGACCTCAGGGTACACTCGGCCACACTTATCAGGAATCAGGATACACTCGTGACTGGATTAGGTATCACTAAGAACTCAGCAATCTTCCGCAGAACACAGTCGTCTGCATTTCAAAGGAAATACAAGATTTAGTTGATACTGCATCGTGCACAAAAACCACTTCCGAAGAGTACGTTTAGCTGCCACACCACGTACCAGCGGAGACAGTCGTCTGGCTGTCGACATGAGCGCAACACTAACCTGTGTCAGCCGGTTCCGCAGCTGCTGCACGTCCGGCTGCGCAGCCAGCCGGCTCAGCAGCTGCGCGCCCAGCTGCTGGCAGGCGGAGCGGCTGGTGACGCCGCTCAGTGCCGGCAGCTGGCGCACGGCGCGGCTGATGGCGGCTGACAGCTGCGCGTCGACGACAGCGCGCAGGGCGGTCAGCAGGCCGCAGCCGGGCTGCTCAGGCAGCAGGTCCAGCTCCTCCAGGTAGAGCAGCAGCTCACCCGCGCTGCTGTCGCCGCCGCCGGCGCCCACGGAGGCCAGCAGCGGCCCCAGCTGCCGCAGCAGCTGCTGGGTCTGCTGCGTCACCGTGTCCACTGTCCACTGAGCGTCGGCCATGGCGCCGGTGCGGCGCTCACAGCTCACCAGGGGTGCTCAGATCACCGGAGAATCGTTCAGCGAGCACTACCACCCCTGGCACCAGCACCACAGTGCATAGGTCACCAGAGAGCACTCAGATCACCAGCAAACTTCCTATCACGATGCTGGTACCACAGCATAGCTCTGAGCTGATTAGCTTACCACCTCTTCATGTCATCAATAAGCTGCTCACTGAACACTACAACACTTCACACAGCAGCATAACAGCAGCACAGGTATGAGCTCACTGGCTCATGGTGTCCAGGAATTGTTCACTGAGCACATGGCTACAGGTGCAAGAGCACACATTCATATCATCTGCTGATGCTCTGGGTGCCACTAAACCGTTCAATCCCATTCCACTGGCTGCTTCCAAACACCCAGAGAATAAAATCAAGTACACAACAGATGCCTCTTGTAAATCAGTTCACCTGCTGAGAAATATTTTCTCAGATAAACAGAGCTTCTGATGACTGATTGACTTCAGTGTGTCTCTCCAGAACCAGCGTATACCCTCCAGTTAGCATGTTTGTTCATAATGCATAAGCTGCTGAGTTGGGGAAGGCAATTATCAATTGGAACATCACATTCAGAGCAATAAGTAATGTAACAAAAAAAAAATATTGCATCCCACATAGGTAATGTCAGCAAAGCAGTGATCAAATTGGACTGAAAAGTATTGGTTTCAAGAAACTAGACTTTACAACTACTTAATAAGTCAATGGCACAGGTAATAATTGCTCAAATGCATTAGGTAGCAGAAAGTTGGTGTAATGGTATCAGCCAGTGCCTCTCATGCCAATCAAAAGCACCAACAACAAACTGGTTTGGGTTAGCAAGACAGGAAGAGGAAACAATTAGCAGTCAGCACCTGGAAGCCATCAACTGCACAATGCACATACCTGCACATCACAATGACAGATGACGTGATCAAAAGCTGAGTACAGCCAAATAGAAGTCTTAATGATTTTTATAGAAAGCTGAACATTTTGCAAAATGTGCTATAGTAGCAGTAGGGTGGAGCTGCTTCCATGGCAATTTAGCACCAAGTAGCATCACGTAGCATCATATGCTGAAACAAGGCCCTCTCATCATTCACCAACCAGGGTGAAACAATGGTCATTGGAATCCTTTCAAAATAACTCATCTATATTATGATTTATATTTTCTAAATCTTGAATAAACACTATCATAACATACGATCAGGTACTTTGAAAGTATACTATATGGGTTCCTTTTCACAACTTTTAACGTTTGAAACCATAGATACGGACTTTGAAACGGTGATGTTGAATTTCCAGGAATGTTAAAAAAAATATGGACGCATGAAAAATACCGAAGATAGAGCTTTACGCGGTCCTTTCTCGGCTTCAGACCAAGGGTACATGTAAATAAGAGCATGCTGCACCAATTGTATTCGATAGGAAAAAATAGCTCCGATTTGATTGGCCAAAGTTTTCCACGAACAGCAAACACTTCGCTCATTGGCTAAGAAAGGCTAGACTAAGCGCGAGTGACGTAAGGAGACAGCGATACAAATGCGATTGAACACTCACCAGGAAGTTTTGCCGCGAGCTGGAGTTGCGTGAAAGGAATGTGGTGTTTTAAATAGAAGTTTTTACTCTTTTTTGCCCAGGTAATTAGCATATTTTGAATTTATACCCCTCGTTATTTGTCAGTGTGACATTCTCACACATTTTCAGTTATATCTTTGTCTGGAGAACTTAGAATTGTGGTTTATTGGATGCGTCATAAATGTCTATGCAACGTGTTATTAGTCTAAAAGTTATTTTGTACATAATATTAATATTTATATTCAGTTCACAGTGCTTGCATGTTGCAAAAATGTTAATTCAGGGTTTGACCTGTCTCTACCGTCATGCAATGACTATTTGATACATATAGAGTGTAAGCTATAGGTACGGATCTCGCGAGATAAAGCGGTAGGTTTTGCACTTTAACATTTCAGGTTATATCTCAGAAACTAATCAATCTACAATGAAGCCATTTTACACGATCATGGCCGGCTTGTTACCCAACAAGTCGATCGCATCTTCAACACTTAAAAGCTTAAGATGAGGCTTCAAAAATCTCAAGTGCTTTTCTAGGGTTAATATAATTGCTTTGCTGTCCCTTGTCAACCATGCAGGGCACAGATTCAGCTTACTCATTCACCTTGCTGCTTGCTAAGTTCCTTTCTGCTAACTGTTGGAACTTGACTGGGCTGGAAATTAGGAGCTTGTTAGGCCTAAAAAATAAAGGAAGCAAATCTTGCCTGGCATTTAGAAAGGAATCTTGAATGATAGATGGCCAACCACTGCTAGAAATGTACCAATAGTATCGTACACTATAACAGAGGTTTGGTGAATGCGTTGGTATTGTTTTTTATGTAGAATATTGATTTGCTTTGAGGACTATTATACAAGCTATTGAGTTTTGTGTGTTTGCTTATCACACAATATTCCAAACAGCTTGTAGAGGACAAAATGCATCAGTAGCTTTTCAATATTTCATATAAATAATATTTATTGGCACTTGGCAGCCCCTATTATTTGTTTCAAATTGTGTGTTTTATTGCAATGGATGTTGTAATGGATGTTGTAAATTACCTATGTGTTGTAAGTTCCAATGGAGCCAAAAAATGGCACATGTTTACAGACATTTTTTGTTGCCTTTCGCCTAACAAAAGTCATGCATAATCATGTCTATACATCATACATAACATGACTTCCATACATCATACATATCACATATTTAAAGAAAATCACAGTTCAGTTTTCATAAACATAACCCATTTCTACACATTTTGTGACAGAGGAGGAAGGTGGATGCCATACAAGTACGCATCTATTTTCAATGAAGGGAGTAGTTCCTTGATTATTTCATTTTTAGAAAATCATGGTTTCATGACACTTGTAACACAAGATTTGTAATCACATTTTAGCTCATTGGTGGGTGTTACTGACATTCATCATCATGCATACATTTTTTAATTGTACAGTTTTGAACCTTAGTAGGTTTTTAACATGTACATTTGTAACAGTTTGCTTAAAGAAGATTAATTTAGCTTTGATTGATCAATATTCAATTTATCTATGTAACAAACCACCATAAGCAAATGACCTAAAAAGTTTTCATTCCCTCTTGGTTAGGCCCTTACAAATGTCACCTTACTTTGGTCTCCATCACCATAAAAACTGCTGCTCCTCAATCAGTGACCTCCCCTCTATGCTCTCCAGGACCGCCCGCCCGCCGTAGCGGGGCCGCGGGTGTGTGAGCGGCGATGGCGACGCCCGGTACGGCGGCGCAGTCGGGCGGCGGGAGCGGCGGCGCCGCGCTGGCCGCCGCCGACCCCGCCGGCCAGATGGCCACCTACCGCTCCTACGTGGCTCTGCTAGCCGACACGAACGCCAAGGATGAGAACAAACTGAAGGCCGCACAGGAGATCAGCGATAACTTCGAGGTGGGTGCCCGTCGGCCGGCGACTCAGGGGAGGGATGGTGGGCAGGTGCGGTCAGATGACACAGCCGTGATGGGATTAGTCATGTGAGGAAGTTTTGGAGCCCTCTTGGCTTGTTGTGACCGATGCTAATGACTGACTATGCGTGGGCGATACCAGGACGCCTGATTTACGGCTCTTGTCTGCCATACCGTTACCGACGCCCGCCCGCTCACCCAACACTCTCCCGCTCCCTGCCGTCAGTAGGTACCGTATACTTACCGTATACTTACCGTATACAGTAGGTACCGTAGGTACCGTATACCGTCAGGTTAGTAAACCTGACTTGTGCCGTGTTTCAGTTCATCGTGAACCACGCGGCGTTCCCGCAATTCCTGGACCTCTTTGTGAAGACGTGTCTGAAACTGCTGCTCGAGGACAGTCCGTGTTTTATCGCCGAATATAATGTGCAGGTGAGTAGAGAGTGCTCCGTGCGTCAGCGGCCCAGGAGCAGCCGACTATATGGGAGCCGGGCACGCCAGAGACGGCACGTGGCTGGTCCGGGGATTTCTTTCAGGGAGCTGAGTCTTCCCCAAGGTTGACATCTTGCGCTCAAAAATACTGTTTACCAAGATGAGCCTACTTTCATAAGAATCATGCTGTCTAGAAATCTGCTCTATGGCTGATAAGAGGTCACTTGTTTTGAGCATGTCATGCCGCTCCCGCCCGCTTTGTGCTCTGACCCGGCCGGTGCCTGCAGCAACTGCGGAAGCTGGTGCTGGACATGCTCCACCGGACGCCGGCCGTGGACGCGCTGCGCCAGTACACGCGCAGCATCATCAACGCCATGTTCAAGCTGCTCGAGATCGACAACGAGGAGAATGTGCTGGTCTGCCTGCGCATCATCATCGAGATGCACAAACAGTTCCGGCCGGCGCACACACCCGAGGTGAGCGAGGCTAGTGGTCCGTGGGCCTTGGGGGCGACGGAAGTGAGAGCCAGGGACGCTCTCCTGGCTCCACCGTCCGGTCGCTAAATGTAATGACCTGACGGATCGTCGCTAAACGCTATTGTTTTGCCGACTGCCGTCTAATTTTGAAAATTGCTGGAGTATCATTTGGATGTCATTTTCATCGATTTAAGATTCTAGCTAGGTGAATATGTCTCAGCTGATCGTTTATACCTCTCTCGTCTGACAGATTCAGCAGTTTCTGACGTTCGTCAAGTCGATCTACAAGGAGCTGCCGAACCACCTGAACAAGGTGTTTGAGCGGCCTCAGAGTGTGCCCGTATCGGACATTAGCGAGGTGAACCTGAGCGCCCTGCTCTGCGAGACCTACACCATCACCACGCTGCACACGGAGCGACGCAACGCCGAGGGAAACGCCGTCACGGTGAGCCAACGGGAGGGAAACTCCGGGACAGGTAGTATGCCAGGCGATAATGCCTGAGCGTTGATCCGACTGAAAAGGAACACCGGTACAGTGGAGGGATGCGCCGGGATAGTAAAGCTTACTGAAAGGATACGCGGGGCTGGTTGACGACCAGGGGTAATGTCGTGGGAGTGAGTGGATTAAGAAGCGAGTCGTCACGGTGGGAGGACCGAGAGGCTATTTCGTGACGGGGATTCAGACGGCGGCAGCTGCTGGTCTGTGCAGTCTGGCTGCCGGCTGCTGGCTGCCATGAAAGTGACTGTGTTCCCGTGTGTGTTGGTGCCCTATGAGTGCACTCACAACGCGATCACGGCTCGTTCGCTGTCCATTCCGCTCCCGGCAGCCGCCGCGCTCTGACTCCGCTCTCCGTCTCGCTGTTTTAGTTCAACCTGCTGCCGAAGGCGGTGCTGTCGCTGAAGGTGGTGGCCGAGCTGCCCATCATCGTGGTGCTCATGTACCAGCTGTACAAGCAGAACGTGCACCAGGACGTGGCCGAGTTCATCCCGCTCATCATGGTGACCATCACACTGCAGCCCAGTCAGCAGGTCAGTGTCACTTCCCCATACTGCCATCGGGGACGTCAGTGTTCCCATCCCCTTCTTCTGTCTAGGTGACACCAGTCACACTCTGCATCCAGGCCACTGCGTGCCAGTGTTCTTACGGCCTAGGGGTATGTCTCGTTCGGTGCACTGCCATTAGGCCAATGTCTATCTCTCCCATGCGTAATATGAACGTGATTCCTAGGAAAAATATAGTGCCGCTAGTTTGTCGTAGGACCAGCTAAAACTATACAATGTTGTGGTCATAGCAGTATTCAAATAATATATTCGGGCTCGCGTCAGTCGTGTTTAGCGTTACTTTACGAACCGCTCGTTTCAGATTCGCTCGGCGCCCAATTTCAACCGGGAGATTCTGGTCGACTTCATGGCGGCTCAGATAAAGACGCTGAGTTTCCTGGCGTACATCATCAAGATCTACCAGGACCCGGTGTCCCAGCACAGCGTCAGCCTGGTGCGCGGGGTGCTCGGTCTACTGATGCTCTGCCCACCTGAGGTGGCCCACCTGCGCAAGGAGATTCTGATCGCCGCCAGATACATCCTGCAGACCGACCTCCGACTCAGTGAGTGCTGGTGGAGCGGCTGGTAATGACTGATATAACTGCTCAGTTAGTAATGTGGCAAAACAGAGATCGCATCCTCTTAGCTAGACGTGACGTAGCGTATCTTTTATACAGTGTAACAGTTTTCACCGGTCCTAGATACAGCTATTTAGCTTGTATGGGACTCAGCTGATACCGTCGGCCAGTGTTGCTGGCCGATGAACATCTTTTGGCGATCAATATGCCGATCAATATGCAAAAGTGCCGATGAATATTTTTGCTCTGAGGTTTCCTTTTCATCTAACGTCACTTTCATGTAGGTTGAATGCACATTACACGTGTAAATGTCATGGAAAGAAGCCGCAAACTCGGTTCCGGCGTCCTCACCGTTTTATATGTGTTATGTGTTTTATCGTGCATAGTTTGTGCCGTACATGGAGAAGCTACCGTGGTATTACACTCGTGGTGTGTTTGTTCTCACAGAATTTGTGCCGTACATGGAGAAGTGGCAGTGGTCTGATGGTGTGCCTTCTCCGACAGAGTTTGTGCCGTACATGGAGAATCTGTTGGACGAGACTGTGTGCTTTGTCAGTTTGTATAGTGTTTTTTTTTTACAGTTTGTGCGAACTGCGATGTGTTTTCAGAGTTTGTGCCGTACATGGAGAAGTTGCTGGACGAGACGGTGCTGCTGGGCGTCGGCTGGACGGCCAACGAGTCGTGCCGCACGCTGGCCTACACCACGCTGGCCGACCTGATCCACCACGTGCGGCAGCACCTGCCGCTCAACCACCTCACCACGGCTGTCCACCTGTTCTCCAAGAACGTGCACGACGAGTCGCAGCCCACCACGTGAGTCGGTGGGACGCTGGGCGACGGTGGCCTACGCAGAGTGGGCGAACAGTGCCAGCTCATTGTCACCGAGTAGGTCGGGAAGGGACGGAGGGGAACAACCGTCATGGAGGCCGGCAGCGACTGGTCATGCCCGGGCTGCCCCGATTACGATGACCTGTGGACTATAAATGTAGTGATCACTGATCTGAATGTTTTACGTGTTGGAGTGGTGTAGATATAGCCATTATCCACTGCAGCTGCAGACGTTGACATGTCCGCAAGCTTAAATGGTCCAGCGTGCAGCAGTACTAGCCACTAGGCCTTCTGATTTATTTGAGGGTGGGTTGTGTCCCGAACTCCTTCTGACGGTGCGCGGGCTGGACGAGCCAGTACCCGCTCGGCTGGCTAATCTGCGTGTCTAACCTACCTTCCCCGTCCGTCAGGATCCAGACCATGTCGTGCAAGCTGCTGCTGAACCTGGTGGACTGCATCCGCACCAGGACCGAAATGGAGAACGGCGACCGGCACGCCCTGCTCATGAGAATGCTCGAGGTGTTCGTCCAAAAGTTTAAAACCATCGCCCAGACACAGATCCCAGCGCTCATCGCCAAAAGGTGGGGACCGACAGTCTCTGAATTGTAGTTGGCTCTATGGTGCAAGCCATCGCACCTTTTCTTAGGCTGATGTACGAATGGTTTTGCAAATGAACTTGTTAAAACCTACGATGAGTTGTATTAGTGGTTTAGCAGATAATATTATGGCCGGGAGCTTCGACACTGAGTGCCCAAGTTAAAGGCGAATATGACAGGCTAATTATATGGACCAAAAGCTCCTTCCTACTGTTAAAACACCCCGAGCACAAATGGAATTCTTCATAAAGCAGTGTTCGAAAGTAGAGGTAGTTGTCTCAGCTCTATAATTGCCCTTTGCATCGAACTTGCACTCTTCCTCTATCGACTACCGTCTGACCGTGTTTCTCCGTCCAACAGCGGCTCGGCTGAGGGCGGCGCCGGCAGCAGTTCCACCTCGCCCTCCGCCGACGGTGACGGCTCGGCGGCCGGCGCGGACACGCCGACAGCGGACGCGGCGGCCGCCACGGCCGAGCTGTCGGCCGCCGAACTGATGGCCGAGCTGGCCGCCATCAGCGAGCGGCCGCCGGCGCCGGCGCGGATCGGCCTCACCACCAGTCCGGCCACCACGTACAGCGTGGTCGACTGTCGGAATCTCGTCAAAACGCTCATCTGCGGCGTGAAAACCATCACCTGGGGATGCGCATCGTGCAAGGTGAGGACTGACAGGCGCTGGGAGCTATAATTAGCAACAATTGCAGCGTAGTTGGCGTATCCCAGTGGTTCATACTAATGGTTTAATATGTAGCAAATGTAGAATATGGCCTTAGTAAAGCTGGGGATGAATGTAAGTGGTTGCACAATAAACATCCCATCATATGGGACTCATGGGATTGCTGACCGACTTTGCGCCGTCTCATGCCGTTGTCTGCTCGCCGCCCGTTGGGTGGCTGCCGTGCTCCTCTGACTCCGCTCTCCCCTGCAGGTGGGCGGTGACGCCGTATCGGCGCAGAAGCCGCAGTCGCGCCAGTTCTCGCCGGCCGAGACGCTCGTCTTCATCCGGCTGGTGCACTGGGCGCTGCTGGCGCTCGACATCTACACTCTGAACGGGCAGCCGGCGGCGGCCGGCCGCCAGACGCTGCCGCCGCCCGGCCGCAGTAGGGAGGAGAAGGAGGTGCTCGAACACTTTGCCGGCGTGTTCGCCATGATGCACCCGGCCACATTCCAGGAGATCTTCAGCACCACCATCGGCTACATGGTGGACCGCATCAACAAGAACAGTGCGCTCCAGATCGTCGCCAACAGCTTCCTGGCCAACGCGCCCACCTCGCCCATCTTCGCCACCATCCTGGTCGAGTACCTGCTGAACCGGATGGCCGAGATGGGCAGCAACCAGGAGCGCAGCAGCCTCTACCTCAAACTCTTCAAACTCATCTTTGGCAGCGTCACCATCCTGCCGCACGACAACGAGCAGATGTTGAAGCCCTACCTGCACCAGATCGTCAACAAGTCCATGGAGCTGGCGATGACGGCTCGCGAGCCCTACAACTACTTCCTGCTGTTGCGCGCGCTCTTCAGGTCGATCGGCGGCGGCAGCCACGACCTGCTGTACCAGGAGTTCCTACCGCTGCTGCCCAACCTGCTGCAGGGCCTCAACAGTCTGCAGTCTGGCCTGCACAAGCAGCACATGAAGGACCTGTTCGTGGAGCTGTGCCTGACGGTGCCGGTGCGGCTGTCGTCGCTGCTGCCCTACCTGCCGATGCTGATGGACCCGCTCGTCTCCGCACTGAACGGCTCCCAGACGCTGGTCAGCCAGGGACTGCGTACCCTCGAGCTCTGCGTCGACAACCTGCAGCCAGACTTTCTGTACGAGCACATCCAGCCGGTGCGCGCCGAGCTCATGCAGGCCCTATGGCGCACCATCCGCAACCCCACCGACCAGATCGCGCACAACGCCTTCCGCGTGCTGGGGAAATTCGGCGGCGGCAACCGTCGCATGATGGTGGAGCCGCAGACGCTGCAGTACAACGAGCGCGAGACGCCCGGCCCGTGCGTCACCATCCAGTTCCAGGAGACGCGCCAGCCGGTGGCGCTGCCCATCGATAAAGCCATCGAGACGGCGTACGCCACGCTCAAGTCGTCCACCTCCGACCCCTACTACCGCCGACAGTCGTGGAAACTGATCCGCGCTTTCCTGGTGGCGTCCATCTCGCTTGACGACGATCGCGACAGCATGTACAAGCTGCTGTCGCATCCGAGCTTCCACACGGGCGACGTGCTGCCGGCGCACTCGGCGCTGAGCCGGTTTCCGGACGCGGCACTGCGCGCTGTGCACCAGACGGCGCTGACGGCCATGTTCATCGCGGCGGCCGTGCGGGAGCTGCGTGACGAGGTAACGCGTACCATGATCTGCGTGGTCAACCACTACACACTGGTGGCGTGCGTGCAGCAGGCAGGACCGTTCGGAGCCAGCGCGCGCCAGCTCAAACTGCAGGGCATGGATCCGCTGGTTCTGGTGGACGCGCTGGCCTACATCATGGGTCACGAGGAGAAGGAGCTCTGTAAGCCGGGCCGAGTGGCCATACAGGTGATGCTGGGCACGGCCACCACGGTGATGGGTTCGCTGGAGCGCGCCTGTCAGCTGCCGCTGATGGAGAACCTCTCGGAGCGGCTGTACGGCCTCTGCTACGAGCGGGCCTGGTACAGCAAGCTCGGCGGCTGCGAGGCGATCGGGGCGCTGACGTCGTTCATGGCGCCGCGCTGGCTGCTGGAGCGCCAGTACGTGTTTGTGCGTGCGCTGCTGTTTGTGATGACGGACCTGTCCGGTGAGGTGTCCAGCGGTGCCGTGGATAAGGCGCGGCAGAACATGGACAGACTGCTGACCACGTGTGCGGTGCCGGCCGCCGACCAGCCGGCCGACGGCGCCGAGCTGGCCGCCGTGCGCGCAAAGTCGCAGCACGACGTGACCAACGAGCTGGTCCGCCAGCTGACCAGTCCCAACAGCACAGCGCGGGAGCAGGCCATGCACAGTCTGGAGCTGCTGGCCGGCCTGCTGGGCCGCTCCACCTCGGAGCTGATCGGGCCGCACAAGGAGACTCTGGCCGACATGGTGCCGCCCAAGAAGCACCTGGTCCGACAGCAGCCGGCCAACGCGCAGATCGGCATCATGGATGGCAACACGTTCTGTTACAGCCTGCAGCCGCGCCTATTCACCATCGACCTCAACATCAGCGAGCACAAGGTCTTCTTCAGCGAGCTTTTCTCGCTCTGCGAGGCAGACGACGCTAGTCTGCTGAAGCTGCCCTGCTACAAGTCCATCAACCTGACGTCGATCCGGCAGTCGGCGCTGCGCTGCCTGGCCGAGTGCTACTACATCCCCAACTACCGCGACAAGATCTTCTCGGTGCTGTACAACCGGGCGCTCAACTCGAGCAATGCAGAGTTGCAGGAGTGCGGCTTCCAGTGCATGCAGAAGTTCATCGCCGGCGCCCAGCCCGACATGGAAGTGGTGAGTATTCCGCCCGTGGTACGGGGTCCTTTGTCGTAGGAGAATGATAAAATCCAGTTGTGGATGGATAGATTATGTAACATGTCATACCAGAGAACGATGCTAACATTCCAAGGCTCTAACCTGTATGACTAAGACTAAGTTGTTTTTTCTAAAAGAGTGTAATCGGTTGAACAAGTGGTGTTAATTAAGTCCTCTGCAGTTAGCCCGCATACATTCTGTGGTGCGCTCAGCGTGTGTGAATGTACAGGGGTGTGCACTAGAATCCGGAAAAACTTAAACTTGGTGTATCATATAAACTTTTTTAATATATCACTCTACTTTTCCTCATAGTTTTGTGACTTCAGTCGCCCTTGATCGGAAACAAAATAAGTAGAAATGTCCTCTGAGTTAGAGCGCCGCACCGCGATTTTTGTGGCCCTCCGCTGCGGCCGCGCGCCCAAGGAAATTTTGGACTTCTTTCAGTTCCCGAAATTGACCGCGTACGACTTTGCGAAGTTTCTCAAAGAGTCTGAAGAGACGATGAGTGAGTCTCTGACTCCCAAGAGGAAGGAACAGGGCCAATTCGAGGTTCAGAAGCGGAATAAGGACTTCTTGGAGCAGCCCGAGGCCATTATTGGAGAAGGTCCGAGCCTGCCCATGCAGAAGGTGACTTCGAGGCTCAATCTGCGCAGGGCAACAGTTCTTCGTGCCATTCACGAGGATCTCCGATATCATGAGCTACGTTCTCGAGGTGAGGCAGATGCTCTCAGAAGTCATAAAGACCGGGAGACTCGGAGATGTGAGCTGCTCATCACTTCTTTGAAGCACAGAGCTGCCGGCCGGATCCGCTTCTTTCTCTACGAGAAGAACTTCTGTATCTGTGCGACCACTATCTGTGGGGCGTCCTTGAGAGAGAGTCCAACAAAGGAACTCATAACATTTTCGACTCCCTGAGGACCGCCATTATCCAGGCCGTGGCCAACTTAACCCGGGAGCAGGTCACCAACGCCTGCGGCAGGTTCCGGCGTCCTGTGGAGGCTGTGATTGGAGCTGGAGGGGGTTGAGTCGAACCTTAGTACAGAGGCGGGATCAGTCTTCGCTATAAAGGTAAAATTTTTGAAATGAAGCCTTGCGATACCAAATAAACCCTTCAGTTCTTTCCCTTGGCTTTTTTCCGGATTCTAGCGCACACCCCTGTACACTATGCTGTGATATCACAAATCTGACGCTCGATGTGTCCCGTGCTCGCCGTGCGCCGCAGGTCCACCAGGAGATGCGTCCGCTGCTGCTGAAACTGGGCGACCACCGCTCTCTGAACCTGACCGTGGTGCCACGTCTCAGCTACCTCACGCGGCTCTTCCCAAACACCTTCAAGGAGAAGCTGTGCGAGCAACTGGTGCAGCACCTGCGGAAGTGGATGGAGACAGCTATTCAGAACCGCAACGGCCAGACTGCCGTGGCCGCCGCCGCCGCCGCCGGAGAGGATAAGGAGAAGACGGCCAGCCTGCGCACCGCGCCCACGGCGACCCCCGAGTACCAGATCTGCACGGCCATCCTGGGAATCTTCCCCCAGATCCCGGCGGCCAGCAGCCGGTTCGTCGAGCTGCTGATACGGCTCGTACTGACCACAGAGTCGCAGCTCTGCGTGGACGCCGGCAGCACCATGCGCGCACCGCTGCTCAAATTCCTGGCGCGCTACCCGCAGGAGACGATCGACTTCCTGCTGACGGAGAACGTGTTGAAGGAGGCGCAGAACAGCCGCTTCCTGAAGTACCTCATCCAGCACGAGGATGGCCAGTGTTTCCGCGACATGGTACAGGCGTCCGTGGACCGTCTGACGACCATGGTGTCGGGCGCTGTGTCCGTTCAGACCGAGAAGGAGAAGTCCGAGCTGCAGTACCAGGCGGTGCACGTCGTCTACCTGCTGACCAAACACGACGACCAGTGGCTGGCTGGCCAGCGTCGGCTGGTGGAGGCGCACCAGCTGGTCTGGTGCAGTGACGCCTACCACGAGCAGCATCAGCGTGGCGAGCGGACCGAGGCCGGCCACTGGCAGCAGCCGTGGCTGCTGGCGCGCATCCTGCTGCGCTACTTCATCCACCACCCGGACAACGTGCATCTGCTGCTGCAGCTGGTGCGCGCGCTCACTTCCAGGTCAGTCGGAGAGGCGGGCAGGGGGGGGGGGGAGCACCGCTTAGGCACCGCTTACATCCAGGCAGTGCTGGAAATGAGACCGCTTTCTGGTCCCGGCGTTTTATTCTCCGGGTGAGTTAGCCCGTCTAGCGCTTAGCTTTTGGGACCCTCTCAGAGCCGCGATTGCTTTCGCCGCTCGGCCCATTCGAGATGCGAAGTTGATAGTCGCACGAAGTTTATTTGGGGCCTCTGAATATACGACTTCGAAATGAATCGATTCTACAAAACCTTTTCCTTTCATCTATATGCATACATTAACAGTAACCCCAGACTAGACTGGTTTGGCTGGCCCTAAATAAGCTTTGTGTGACTATTAACTTTGCATCTCGACTGGGGCGAGCGGCGAAAACAACCGCGACACTGGTTGGGTCCCGAAAGGCTAAAGATAAACGCTGGACGGGATTAACCCTATTAGTGGCAGGGGGGGGGGTTGTTTTTATCCACCCCTCAGGTTTTTCGGGAATATCTCCGAAACCGCTGAAGCTACGATGCTGAAATTTTCTGACTTTTCCTAAAACTAAATTGGGCACATTCCCTGAAAATTTCAAGTTCATAACTTTACCAGGGGCGGCTCCAGAGCACTGGGAATTGGGGGGTCCTATTCGTGAAGCGAGTCATTTGGGCGAAGATCACGATGCTGCACCAGTTTTACGAACAGTGAATAAAAGGTATCATGTGATAACATATACAGTTATTGTGCATCCTCTTTTGACACGTTTTTGCTATAATAGGCGGATCCAGGCGTCCAAAAAGGGGGGTTATGTTTTACCTCCCAACATAGGTGCCCTGACACCGCCTATGCATTACCAATACAATTTTAGTCGTTCTCTCATAAGAAAATTATAACATAACAAGACCATTACCACCCTTTTTAGAAACAGTACCAACAAAAACCTTATTTACTATATTTTTTGTGTACCCCCAATCTCAATGATCTGTATCCGCCTATGATTTTTGAAAATGCATATTTTTAGGATCCATGTGAATTCCTGGTTCATTCTCTATCGATCGGCAAAAGTTGCGTTAAGATTGGTTCAGAAACCTGGCCGTGATAAACAGTCTAAAATGTATCTGCAATTTGCCCGTTTTTACCCCCCCCCCCCTCTACCCCCCCTGTTGACATTTTTTAATTTTTATTTTTTAGAAATGTAGATCACGTTGAGCGAAATCGAATGCCGTTTGAATTTTGAAAATCGGCCCGTTAGATCTCGAGATATCAAGGGGGGGTCGTAAACAGCCCCCCCCCTGCCACTAATAGGGGGTAGCCAGGAGCCTGCCACTAATAGGGTTAACCCGCGAGGAGAATAAAACGCCGGGACCAGAAAGCGGCCTGATTTCCAGCACTGCATCCAGGTCAGTCAGAGAGACGGGCAGGGGGGGGGGGGGGGCATCGCTCACATCCAGGTCAGTGGGAGGGGCGGGCGGACAGGGAGGCACCGCTCACATTCAGGTCAGTCAGAGGAGGCGGGGGGGGGGGCACCGCTCACATCCAGGTCAGTCGAAGTGATGGGCGGGCAGAGGGGCACCGCTTAACTCCAGGTCAGTCGGAGAGGCGGGCCGTGCAGCCAGGCAGGGCTCCGCCCGGTAGACCGATCTGAGGCAAATAAGCCTTGTTGCCCTCTTATATTTAGCGCAAAAGGCTGACAGAGGCTCTGGGCGATGTCACTCGTATGCTTGCACGGCTTGATTATAACGAAAATAATAAAAGGGTTCTCTGTGCCCTGATACCGGGTTTCTCTGTTTGGATACCCTTGTTCTGGCGGACGGTTGGTCCGCGCCCGGAGTATTCAATATTGTTTTTGGTCGGAGTCGCATTGAGTGACGAGTGTATTCCCCTCCGCACCCGACAGGTACATTGTCGACTTCCAGTTCATCAAGGACTTCCTCGAGGGCACCGTGGCGCAGTCTTACACAGTGGCCTGGAAGCGGGACGCCTTCTTCAAATTTGTGGAGCTGTATCAGGACCCGACCACCAGCCAGCAGCTCAAGGCAAAGGTACGGCCGGATGAAGGGTGGGCTACGCACGGCGAGAGCACGGGTAAACTATTGGTAGCGAATCGATCGGCGCGGTGGTAATCTGGTCGGCACTGGTTGCTCTCTCATGTAGTGAGTCGGTCAGCTCCAATGAACCAACTCATTTCGTTCGTTCGCTCGCTCGTTCGTTTGTTTGCGAGCGTTGGAGCTGCAGCTGGCATTTTGCATTCCCCAACCCGTGTTTGTTTGATGCTCGCTGAACTATGTCTACTTTTCGACACAGGTGCAGCTGCAGTAACTGCATCATCATCCCGTGTTTGTCCAGTGTTTGTCCGGTGTTTGATCCCATCACACCTCTTGTTCTCCAGGTGCTGCAGTACATCATCATCCCGTGTTTGCCCGGTGTTTGATCCCATTACACCTCTTGTTCTCCAGGTGCTGCAGTACATCATCATCCCGTGTTTCGCCGTGTCGTTTGAGCGCGGCGAGGTGGACCAACTGATTGGCCAGCGGCCCGCGCCCGAGGACGACTCCCCAGAGAACATTGTCAGCGTGTTCATACGCGTGTTCATCGACACCGAGCGGCCGGCGCCGGCCAATGACGGCGTGCGCATCCTGCTGCTGCAGCTCTCCTGTCTGCTCATCGAACACGCCTCGCCGCACATCCACGACGCCGACAACAAGCGACAGGTACGAGCCGGCGCCGTCCCGGTGTCTCCATCCTGGCCTTCCATTCTCGTGTGGTCGGAGGCTGCTCTTCGACAGGCTCTGCCCCACAGGAACACAGCAGCAACACGCTATGGGATGCTTTCTGTGGTTGATGCTTTTTCATATAGACTTCAACCTAGCTCTGATTAAAAAATAGAAGGATGTTTTTGTGGATAACGGGCTAATGCTGAATTAATTTTTAAGACGGAATTAATTTTTTCCCTGCCACCCGTCTTCCCTTTCATTTGTGGTTTTCCGTTGCATCGGTAACCCTTTGACCGATCCCCTCCCACCCTGTCCCATCCGCCCGACCACAGGGTAACAAGCTGCGCCGTCTGATGACGTTCGCCTGGCCGTGTCTGATGAGTAAGAACTGCGTGGACCCGACCACCAAGTACCACGGCCACCTGCTGCTGTCGCACATCATCGCCAAGTTCGCCATACACAAACGCATCGTGCTGCAGGTGAGGAACGGTCCCGCAACGTAGAATTCTGAATACATGGATGGCCGAGCGTAGCCGCAACGTAGGATTCTGAATACGTGGATGGCCGAGCGTAGGAGTACGACAAAATAAAAGCATGCTATGGGCGCTACTTCGGGTATTTTGGCGTTGGTTTCCTGAATGGCAAGGCGCCGATAGAAGGGTAAGGAGCATGACTCAGGGTGGGTGTGTGGGATGTAGCGGTGGAATGGGGGACGGGACTGCGCCTGGGGGGGGGGGGGCGACCAATAGCAAAGATTTGGCAGCGGTGGGATTCGAACCCACGCCTCCGAAGAGACTGGTGCCTTAAACCAGCGCCTTAGACCGCTCGGCCACGCTACCTCTGAGCGACGGGTCTGGGAGCCGGCTTACGGGTGCAAGCTCACGCTCACATGAGATGACATGACGTGACGTAGCGCGGTGTCCATCGGTCTATATCTGTCAGACTCCACTCCTCTGTTGTGACTGTGTCTGCGGCCGCCCAGGTGTTCCACAGTCTGCTGAAGGCGCACGCGATGGAGGCGCGGCCCGTGGTGCGCCAGGCGCTAGACATCCTCACACCGGCCATGCCCGTCCGCATGGAGGACGGCAACACGATGCTCACCCACTGGACCAAGAAGATCATCGTGGAGGAGGGCCACCACTCGCTGACGCAGCTGGTGCACATGCTGCAGCTGCTGGTGCGACACAACAAGGTACGGACGCCGAGCTCTCAGGCGGGAACTGACTGGGGAAGGGCCGGCGTGGACAGTGATACCGGGGGACACGGCAGGCGCGGGTAGTGCCAGGAGAGTCGGCAGGCGTGAATATGCTGGGGACACGACAGGCGCAGACAATATCGGAACAGGACAGCCTGGCTGACAGTGTTAGGGTCAGAGACAGACTCTCTAGGATGCTCCTGGCGCATATTATGATGCACTAACTCTCCTATACCCATCACCAGGTGTACTACCCGGTGCGGCACCAGCTGCTGGTGCACATGGTGAACTCTGTGCAGCGGCTGGCGTTCAGCACCAACGGCACCCCCGACCAGAAGAAGCTGGCCGTCGACCTGGCCGAGGTCATCATACGCTGGGAGATCGTCCGCAAAGAGGATGAGGTCAGTCAGATGAGGACTGTCGGGCCTTTGTGGGTCAACGTTAGTTGGCCGGAGCGGATGTCACTGCAGGCTTGTGCAATGTGCAACCCTGTTACTAAACCGCCGCCTGGACTAGTCAGTAATGCTAGTGCGGGCAGAGCATTCAGTTCACTATTGGCCGGATTTGGTTGATTTTCTTTCGGGCTGGTCAGTTAGTGTACTGCTGGATTAGTAGTTAGGTAAAGAGCTTAAAGGGACCCTCCCACCTTAACATTAGATTTGAGTTGAGATAGCCAAAATGCGGTCCCTGGCTCACAATTACCGGTTTCGGCACTCACAACATCGAGAAATGCCTTAAATCGGAAATATTGAATTTCAAAATTGCAGCATTTTGATTCAGAGGGGCTAAATGCATAGGAATACCCCTCTGAATGTGTGACGTCAGCGCAGATATCTAACGATTTTTAAATGTTTGACTAAAACGTTTTGTAGCACGCGGTGGTATACCTATGCCGCTTTGCGCGCAACAAGTGCCGCGCTTTCAGCTGCCAAACTATTGCTTCCAAATAAAGTCGCTAGGAACAGCGGAGATCCCAAAAAGTAAACAAAAGTAAAAGTCTATTATCTGGAAAACCGGTGAATATTTTTCGGTAAAAGTTGGTAGATATTCGTTTTCGCTCTTTCTGAACCGAGCGACATCACTTTCATGCCAATTCATAAACTTTTTTGAAGGTGGGAGGGTCCCTTTAACTTAAAGCCTGGGTCTAATAACCATTGCAGCCAAAGCGATCTTATAACCCAGTCATCTTCGCCGTCATTTCACACCTGCGCCGTACTCTGACATGTTACTGAGTTCTGACACTGACCGTGCCCCCGTCCCGCGGCGCAGGAGTCGCTGTCCAAGGGCGGTCTACTGAAGCCGGGCATCACCAAGGAGTCGCTGCGGCGCATCGACAAGACGCACGCCGAGACGCTCATCAACTTCCTGCTGAAGCTGGCCTGCCAGGTGAACGAGCCGTCGACCACGCCGGGAGCGCCGGGCGAGCAGCTCTCCCGCCGCTGCGTCCACCTGCTGAAGCTGTCGATGCGGCCGGGCGTGCTGCCGCACGGCGACCTGCGCATCACCTGGGTGGACAAGCTGCTGTTGTCGGTGGACACGGCGCAGCCCAACTACAGCAATATCTGCACGGCGCTCGACCTGCTCACCTACCTGCTGAGCATGCTCAAACGCGACCAGATCCTGGCCAACTTCAAACACCTGCAGGCGGGCCTGTCGGCCTGCATGGTGTCGCAGAACCAGAAGGTGGTGCGCGCCGTGCACCTGCTGCTCACCAAGCTGATGAGCATGTTCCCCACGGAGCCGACCGGTTCGGCCGTCTCCTCCAAGTACGACGAGCTGGAGGCTCTCTACAACCATGTCAGCAAGGTGGTATTCGAGGGCCTGGTGTCGTTCGAGAAGAACACAGCGGCCACCACTTCCAGTTTGTACGGAACGCTGCTCGTGCTCAAGGCGGCCGGACACAACAACCCCTGCTATGTGGACCGGCTCATCTCGAGCTTTATGCGCGTGCTGCAGCGAATGGCCCGCGACCACCTGACGCAGGGAGGCGAGAGCACGCCCGTGGCCGTCGAACTGCTTATTCTGGCGCTGGACCTCGTCAAAAACCGCGTGGGAGTCATGGGACTGGACATGCGGAAATCCTTCATCGGCGCTATCCTGGTGAACCTCATCGACAAGACGTCCGAGGTGAAGGTATTGAAAGCCATCACGAAGATGGTGGATGAGTGGGTGAAGAACAAGTCGCCGATCGCCATCAACCAGGGCCCCTCGCTGCGGGAGAAGTCGATTCTGCTGGTGAAGCTGATGCACTGCGTGGAGAAGCGCTTCACCGACGACCCTGAGGTGCAGGCGCAGTTCCTCGAGCTGGTCAACTACATCTACCGCGACGACACGCTCAAGAGCACCGAGCTGACGGTGAAGCTGGAGCCGGCCTTCCTGTCGGGTCTCCGCTGCACCCAGCCGGCCATCCGCGCCAAGTTCTTCGAGGTGTTTGACACAAGCATGAAGCGGCGTCTGCACGAGCGACTTCTGTACGTGGTGTGCAGTCAGAACTGGGAGCACATCGGCCACCACTACTGGATCAAACAATGTCTGGAGCTGCTGCTGGTCACCGCCAGCTCGACGGCCATGCAGCTGTCGTCGGCTAGCCTGCAGCTGCCCAGCCTGTGCTCGGTGATCCAGCTGGGCGAGGCGGCCGAGCGGCAGGCGTTCCACCAGTACCGGACGGCACGCGCCGCTGAGCCAGCCGCTGACCTGGACACCACCGACAGCAGTAACGACGAGCTGGAGCTGGCCGAGCAGGCGGAGGCGGCGCGGCCCGGCGCGCCGCCCGCCGTCCCGCTCCAGCTCATCGTCGCCCGTCAGGCCAAGTTCCTGGAGGGTGGCAAGGAGGTGCGGACGAGTCACTTCCTGGCCGCCCTGGTGCAGCTGTGCCACAGCGACCAGCCGCTGGCCGAGCGCATCTGGCTCGACTTCTTCCCGCGCGTCTGGAAAACGCTGACCGAGCGCCAGCAGCAGGTGAGCCGAGCCCGTCCTCTGAGGCGCCGACTCTCCTCTGTCCTCTCCGTTATCAGCAGACCGTCATTCAGTTTTTGTGGCCAATTCTTGGATTGGTCAATCGCCTATCACTGATCAAAGTGAATCAGGAGCCAGCGAATCAAAAAAAAAAAAATCATCGGTTTCATTTTCGAATAAAACATGCGATGTTTCATCAATATCATTCCCGGAGTGCACTGTGCAAGAGCTGTAAACTGTGCGCATGCACCTGGTTTCATTTTTATCTATACGTTACCTGTGCGGTCCCTTGACGTGTCCTGGTACTCCCCTGACGTTCCCTATGTCCTCGCCAGTCGCTGTCGGCCGAGCTGGTCCCGTTCCTGGTCTCGGGCGCGCACAACATCCAGAAGGACTGCTCTCCGTCGGCACTCAACACGTTCGTCGAGGCGCTGGTGCTGTGCCAGCCGTCAGTCAGTCTCAAACCGTGAGTCGGGGTGGTCGCTACTGCGCTACTCAACCGACTAAACTAGTATTTCGGACCTAGAAATGTATTCTCAAAAGCCTGTCTTTTCACGTATTTCATTATTTCACGATTTCGGCTTGTTCCTACTTTAGTGTACCGCGAAATCTGAATGTGTTTAGGTGCGAATATCAACTGTACAGAACCTTCGATCATCCACTGTTTTGACGCAAGGCATAAGCAGCTGACCTCCCGCTGTTTTGGCGCGAGTTTACAGCTGACCTCCCGCCCTTGTCTGTCCGCCTCGCCCTGTGTCAGGTGCGTGATGCGCTACCTGGGCAAGTCGCACAACCTGTGGTACCGCATGGCGCTCTCGCTGGAGCAGATGGCCATGGAGAGCGGCTCACTGCACCTGATCCGGCCCAAGAAGGAGCCGGCAGACATGTACGACTTCGAGCCCAGCTCCAGCAACAAGGAGGTGCGTCAGGGACAGGGTGTGGTGTTTATTGGTCGACTGGCCGTCACAGTGGCTCGCTCGCACACAGTAGCTTACTTATGTCCTATGACCCTTCACTCTTCAGTCTACCGCTCTTAATTTCTTTTCCATCAAACAATACGTGATTCAAAACATGATTTCCGTTGTCCAACTGCTATTGCCCACCTGTACGCCGTTGGTCAGCTGCAGATAACCGCCGCTATGACGACTCGCTGCCGGTGTGGCCGTCTTCCGTCACCGCCCGCCCCGCGCTGTCCACCGTTCCTCACTGCCCGCTCCGCTCTGCCTCCAGGAGAGTCTGGAGATCCTGGAGAGTCTCTGTGAGCTGTACGAACTGCTCCGGGAGGAGGATAACCACCGCTGTAACTAGTCCCTGTACGGACTGCCCCTTACCGTCCCACTCTGTCCCCAGGAGAGTCTGGAGATCCTGGAGAGTCTCTGTGAGCTGTACAAACTGCTCCGGGAGGAGGATAACCACCGCTGTAACTAGTCCCTGTACGGACTGTCCCTTACCGCTCTGCGCTATCCACAGGAGAGTCTGGAGATCCTGGAGAGTCTCTGTGAGCTGTACAAACTGCTCCGGGAGGAGGACCTCTGGATCGGACTCTGGCAGAAGATGGCCAAGTACTCCCAGACCAACATCGCGCTGGCCTACGAGCAGCAGGGCTTCTTCGAGCAGGCGCAGGGTGCCTACGAGCTGACCACCAGCAAGATGCGGGCTGACTACGCCACCACCCCGGCGCCGGCCTCGCTGCAGCAGGTAACCGCCGCCGGACAGGAGCGGGGGGGGGGGGACTGAGGAGGGATCTCGGACTGAGGCGCTGGCGGGGAGGGGGAGCTGCGGTAGTCGGGTTGGGCTCTGGCACCGCGCCGGTCAGTCGGCCGTTGGCTAGGAACCCTGAACGGACCGATTGCCAGAGCCGCAGCACTTGGACGGAAGGAGCTGCCACTCCCTGACATCAGCTATCAGCAGACCGACGCCCCAGTCCGGTGACATTGATGCCCGACCGATGATGGGTTGTTCACGACCTGAACTGGGCCAGCTGACGCATCAGACTTTTGATAGGTCATCTGTGACTCATGACCTGACTTGCGACACTGACAACTGAGTGTAGAAGTGTGATTGCTGATATTTAATTTAGCTGACCCGTGATAGTTAGCTGGCCTGTGATGGCGACCACTATCCGTGCCCTCTTGCCTCCTCTCCCAGGAGATGTTGATCATTTACCATTCCTCTCCTCTCTCCACTCTCATCAGGAAATGCTGCTGGTGGAGGAGCAGTGGATCCGCTGCTGTAAGGAGCTCAACCAGTGGGACCTGCTCCTCGAGTACGGACGCTCCTCGGCGGCCGCCAGCTCTCAGCTGGTGCTCGACTCGGCCTGGCGCGTGCCCAGCTGGACCGTGATGAAGGACGCCCTGCAGCAGGTGGAGGTCAGCTGTCCAAAGGAGATGGGATGGAAGGTGAGTGGTCAGGGACACGGGAGAACAGGCTGAGTACCAGCCGTTGGGACGGTGATGTGGTGTGTGGAATAAGGGTAGAACACGGGAGAGCTGGCACATTGGTGGGTGGAGAGGGGCTCAGACGGCATGCGGGAATACGTGTGCTATTGGGGTGGGGGCGGGGGTAGGGAGAGGCGCGCTGAATGTCGGGGCACCGGGCAGAACGTGTTGGGATGAACAAAAAACAGACATGTAGAATGCCGATTATGTACTGGAGCTCAAAATATTGTTGCTGTGGATGGTTGTCGCTGTCATACCTAGCATGCCATGCATCTCGATAATGACAGCTAACTGTACTATGCAATGTTGCCTTTGGCTTTGTCGGATGACGATCTGAGTTACGACGATAGGAATCATTGAAATAAGTCTCATTGAATATACCTGTACCGTGGCTCTAGTGTACCTAGCCTATTGTCCACTAACTTGAACTATTGTGTGTTGTACCTCAAGGTGAACCTGTACCGCGGCTATATCGCCATCTGCCACCCGGACGAGCCGCACCTCTCCAACGTGGAGAAGCTGGTGGACCTGGCCACCAACCAGTGCATGAAGGAGTGGCGCAAGCTGCCCTCGATCGTCTCGCACGTGCACATCCCCTACCTGCAGGCGGCGCAGCAGGTGAGGTGACCCGCCGTGGAGTGGAGAGGGGAGGTGAAGCGAGAGAAGTTTACGGGAAGGCAGAAGAACAGGCGGGGATTATTGTGGCTAGCGTCTGGAAGGGCTGGATGGATGGGGGGGGGGGTCCCTGTACTTCTCTTGGAAGTGCTGAAGGGTGTCACTGTACAGTCTGTCTTAAAAGTACCGCGCAAAGTGACGGTGGATCCATCAAGCCTGACCGAGGAAGGGCCTGCTATAATTTGAAAGTCACCGAACCAATTGACCTGGGGAATGGACGAGGATGTCCATTGCTTCGGTGACTCAGATTTAGCAGTCCTTCCTCGGTCAGGCTCGATGGATCCACCGTTACTTTGCGCGGTACTTTTAAGACAGACTGTACTGTTTTGGGACGGTAGAGTGTGTTGTCTTTGTCTTTCTGTGAGGTGTGGATTGGGGTGCATGGTTTGAACTTTCTGCTATTGACTCTGATTCTTACTTCCGACTGAACGTCCCCGTGGAAGTGACTAAAACTCTCGGCTGTGTAATTGACTCCAACGCGCACCTCTGGCCCCACGCGTCCCCTGCTGTCACTGAATCTCGATGTCTACGACTCCTACCTTTAACCACACACTCATCCCGTTCTCTCAGATCATGGAGCTGCAGGAGGCGGCACAGATCCACCAGAACCTGCTGCACAGTCGGCAGAACGCCGTGCACGACATGAAGGCCATCGTCAAGACGTGGCGCAACCGGCTGCCCGTCATCTCTGACGACCTGAGCCACTGGAGCGACGTGTTCACGTGGCGCCAGCACCACTACCAGTTCATCGTCACCCACTACAGCGAGCACGAGCAAGGCGCCAACAACCAGAGCATGCTCGGAGTGCACGCCTCGGCACAGGTGAGTGTACCACTACTAGCACATCGTCACCCACTACAGCAACTAACAACCAGAGTATGCTCGGAATACACACCTTCGCACGGGTGAACCGCCGCCGCGCACATTCCAATGAGTCGAACCATGTGTGATACAGCACAGCACTTACCGACTGATAACATGTTGTCTCTCTGGTTCCACGTGATTCAAGCTATGATGTAACCATCTACCTTCATTTTACGAGTTTTTATTATAAATTCAATAAACCGTGTACAGATGTGATCAGCTTATATAAAGAATGATGAACCTTGAAATCTGGTGCATCTCTGGCTTCTGTCACTGAGTCGTGCTCTCATCCCCTTGTGTCCCCCACAGGCTATCATCCACTACGGCAAGATGGGCCGCAAGCACGGCCTGCTGGGCGTGTGTCTGGAGAGTCTGAACCGGATCCACACCATCCCATCGGTACCAATCGTCGACTGCTTCCAGAAGATCCGACAGCAGGTCAAGTGCTACCACCAGAGCGCCGCCGGACAGAGCATGAGCAAAACGGAGCTCCAGGAGGTACGAACTGCGATACTAACCACCATGTCAGCTTATATTGTGTCATCTGTTAAAATTAGTCTACGTAAATGGTTATAGGACGGCAGTGAAGTGTAGGCTAGCTCACCAACACCTGGATATTCTATCGGCCTTTCGACTGCCTCGTTCTGTCATACATGACAGGCCATAGGACTGAGTTTTCGGTTTTATTGACCGGTGTAATTCTCCCATTCAGGGCCTGGAAGTGATCGAGCACACCAACATGAAGTACTTCACCAAGGAGATGATCTCGGAGTTTTACGCGCTGAAGGGCATGTTCCTCTCACTGGTCGGTGAGTCTATCGTAATGTCCACTCCATCCTGGCGCTTGGTTAGCAGCGCCGTTCGGGGTGGCCCCATTGGTATGTTGTCAGCCCAACGTAGCGTGGATATTGTGATGGATAATAGTTATTTACACTCAGCTGCTGTCTTAGTCCGCCTGATGTGGACATTTCACTGTCATGAAATTAAGTCCGTTCTGTTCTGTGGAGAACCAACTAGCGGTGACGGTGATTGGTGATTGATGCCGTTATATCTCTGGTTAGTCGGTGGTCTTAACACATCTGATCGGTGTGTGCCGCCGGCGGCAGGTTGGGCTCGGAGGACGGCGCTGCTACATACCCCTGTGTAGTCGGTGTTGTTTATTCCTCTAACGTCCCCCTGTGTCTCGGCGGCAGGGCGCTCGGAGGACGCCAACAAGGCGTTCTCGGCGGCCGTGCAGATGGACGACACCCAGATGAAGGCCTGGGCGCTGTGGGGCGAGTTCATGGAGGCGGCGTTCATCCGCGACCCGTCCTCGATGGCCACCGGCGTGTCAGCCATTACCTGCTTCCTGCACGCCTGCCGACACCAGAAGGAGAACAAGAGCAGAAAGTACCTCTCCAAGGTGGGTCCCGGTGTTGGGCTGGATGTCCCGCAAACGTAGGCCTGGGTGGGATGTGCGGGATACACTCTGACTGAGGTGCGGTACGTTGGATGTATGTGTTACGATGCAGGGTGTTGTATGCTGAAGGGTGTAGGGTGTCTGTTGTGTGACTTATTCGTTGTGGCTACTTTCTGATCGGTGTGCGGCCTGTATGCCACTTCTATATATGGCCGCTTGTGTGACCGTTAGTCTCTTTCTTAGGTGCTCTGGCCGCCGACTTATCGGTGTGTGTGTGTGTGACTTCTGTGACGTCTATTGTGTCCATATGTGACTGTTTACCTCATTCCGCAGGTGCTCTGGCTGCTGACGTACAACGACGAGGCCAACACCTTGGCCGAGGCGGTGGAGCACTACTGTGCTGGCGTGCCGCCCATGCACTGGCTCCCCTGGATCCCCCAGCTGCTCACCTGCCTCGTCAGAAACGAGGGCAAGCCCATCATGAACCTGCTCACCCAGGTACGAGGGGCGGAACGAACAGCGGAGGAGGGGATCGGGCAGCGGCGGAGGGGGGGGCGGGGTCAGACCAGGGTCGGCCCAGGAGTCCGTCCCTTTGCCCTCATTTTACTCTTCCTGTCCTTCTGGCGGGCCATGATAAGGGAGCAGAGTAACTAGCATTGAAATGGGTATGACGTAAGGCAGTTATCGTGCCAGGACTCTGGCCCGATAATAGCCGGGTTTGTCTCGTTACCCAATTTCGTCATGTGTGTACCTATGCGAGCAATACGTTTGCGCTGTCTTATCAGGGGGCTGTTGGGTCCAAAGCTCAGTAACAACCCGGTACGTAATATCAGTCGTTGCGCCGTTTAAAGCTGCGAAAGGGCGACGAAATGGAGGTCGAAGCGCTCGGCTTACTTTAACACTTGACCTGCAAGCCATGTCACCTGACATACCGATGAACCGTCGTGACCCGGTAACCTATCATCTGACCTGACCCGCCCTCGCAGGTGGGAAGAACATTCCCTCAGGCGGTCTACTTCCCGATCCGCACTCTGTACCTGACACTGAAGATAGAGCAGCGGGAGCGCCACAAGACCAGCGGCCAGGGCGGCTCGGCGGCCGCGGCCTCGGCGGGCTCGGCATCTGCCGACGCGGCTAGTGTCGCCGGTAAGTGGGCGGCAGGGACGAGTCTATACGCAGCAAAACTCACACTTATGCATGTCTCGCAAGTAATTTGTGCAGCATCTTATTGAGTCCAAGTTCGCGTTTCTGGTATGGTTTGCAGAGATGAGAGGCCGAATAAAACATTTAATAATCGAGTTTTTTTTGGGGGGGGGGGCTTTTATATAATTTACTCGAAAACCCGTTGCCAAACAATGTGAGGTTGTGGCTGTAATTTTTACTAATTGAGAACCGCTCACTGCGCCGTAGATGTGCCGTGAATATCGCTTGCTGCATTGCGGTGACGCCGGCGGTGTTTCCGTGTCCCCAGGGACTGACGGCGTCTCCGGCTCTTCCGGCCCCGGTGGCGCCCAGTCGGCCGCCGGCGGCGACAGCGGCTCGATCCGGGCCACGGCACCAATGTGGCGCTGCAGCCGCATCATGCACAACCAGCGCGACGTGCACCCCACGGTGCTCTCCAGTCTGGAGGGCATCGTCGACCAGATGGTCTGGTTCCGGGAGAACTGGTACGAGGAGGTGCTGCGCCAGCTGCGACAGGCGCTCACCAAGTGCCTGGCGCTGGCGTTCGACCACCGCGCCGCCGTCACCGAGGCCCCCATCACACCACACACACTCAACTTTGTCAAAAAGCTGGTGGCCACGTTCGGTATCGGTGTGGAGAATGTGAGCAGCTCGGTGTCTTCGTGCCGAGACGCGTCGGCCTCCGAGTTCGCGCGCCGCGTGCAGGCCACCGTCCAGGACCCTGTGTTCCAGCGGATGAAGGGCCAGTTCACATCCGACTTTGACTTCACCCAGCCGGGCGCCATGAGGCTGCACAACCTCATACAGAAACTCAAAAAGTGGATCAAGATTCTGGAGGTGAAGATCCGCCACCTGCCGAAGCAGTTCCTGATCGAGGAAAAGTGCCGCTGGCTGAGTAACTTCAGCGCACAGACGGCAGAGATCGAGATCCCTGGCGAGTTTCTGCAGCTCAAGCACTCGCACTACTACGTGCGTATCGCACGCTTCATGCCCCGAGTGGAGATCGTGCAGAAGCATGGCACGGCGGCGCGTCGGCTCTTCATCCGCGGCAACAACGGCAAGCTGTACCCGTACCTGGTGGTGAACGACACCGGTCTGAGTGACGCGCGCCGCGAGGAGCGCGTCCTGCAGCTGCTGCGCATCATCAACCACTACCTGGCCAAGATGAAGGAGACGTCTCGCCGCTTCCTGAGCTACACGGTGCCGCGGGTGGTGGCCGTGTCGCCGCACATGCGGCTCATCGAGGACAACCCCTCCTCGATGGCGCTCCTGGACATCTACAAGCAGCGCTGCACCCACAAGGGCATCGAGCACGACGCGCCCATCTCGCGTTACTACGACCGTCTGGCGTCGATCCAGTCGCAGGGCGGCAGCACGTCCCACCGCGTGCTGCGCGAGAACCTGCGCGACGTGCAGTCGACCATGGTGCCACGCACGCTGCTGCGCGACTGGGCCGCCTTCACGTACCCCAGCGCCACCGCCTACTGGATGCTGCGCAAGACGCTGACATTGCAGCTGGCGCTGCTCGGCCTGGCCGAGTATGTGCTGCACCTGACCCGGCTGGCGCCCGAGATGATGTACATCCACCAGGACTCGGGCCTGGTGGCCGTCTCCTACTTCAAGTTCGAGCTGGACGACGCGGCTGGAGAGCTGGTCTCCAACCGGCCGGTGCCGTTCCGTCTGACTCCCAACCTGGCCGAGCTGGTCACCCAGGTGGGAGTGATGGGACCGCTCACAGCGGCCATGGTGGCGGCGGCGCGCTGCCTCTCACAGCCCAACTACAAACTGTCGGCCATCCTGCGCGCGGTGCTGCGTGACGAGCTGATCGCGTGGCACAGGAAGCGCCAGGAGGCTGCCGAGCCGGACATCAGCGGCCAGCAGATCATCCAGCTGGTCACCAAGGCCGTGAGCGTCATCAGCAGCCGGCTCAACAGCCTGGCCACCTTCGAGGGCACCGAGAGCAAGGCCAGCACGCTGGTGGCAGCGGCCGCCAGCAACGACAACCTGTGCCGCATGAACCCCGTCTGGCACCCGTGGCTGTAGACGCTCGGGCCGCGCTGGCGCGTCCGGTGACGACTGACGCAGGGGCGGACCGCCGGGCCGCTGACGGACAGACACGAATTGCCGTGTGGGCGGTGTTGGAGCGCCGTCCCTTGCTTCGCCGTGTAATTGTATCAGACTGTGTGTATTTGTGTGTTTTTATGGTGTGCCACTGAAGTACTGAAGTCGTCGCTCGTGTGTGAATGTTTTGTAATCATGTGCTCGCGTTGCTGCTCAGGTTTGTAACTGTGGAAGTCGCAGCGACTGTCGGCGATGGCGGGTATGTTGTCGCCACATATTGTGCCGTCGCTTCGTTTCCATGTCTGGGGCAGCGCTGGGCGCCCATCCCGAGGTTGTGCTTATGTCGTGTCTTTTCCGCGTCCTGGGTGAGGGTTACGGGGCGACGGGTGCCCCTCTAGTGCTGTGCCCCGTTCCATTGAGTTGTTTTAAATGAAATGTGCGTATCCTTCAACGAGACGAATCGCAGGGCTGGTCTCGACGTTCCTCTTCAGCCGAGAGGGACTCCTCGGCCGCGGAGGACTGCTCCCCTCCTCAGCTGGGGAGGACGCCGACTCTCCACCCACCCGCTCGCCCGGTGGTCGGCCGTGCAGGGTTCGTCGCGATAGCAGCTGCTGTGAGTGTGCATGTGAGAGCTGCTGTGTTTGTGCGCTGCCGGTGTCTGAATGGAATGTGTCGGTTACCGTTCTGTTCCCGCCGCCTGCCGTGTACGCCGTACAGGAAGGGAGAGACCGGTACCAGCCGACCTGACACGATCTCCTGCGTTGAGTACTGTCCTCAATACATGATCATCTTTCTCTAACGTCCTGTGTGTGGAATAATTCGGGGGCACTTAGTTTTGAACTCGCTCTCGCAAGTGGAATCAACATCACTTAGGTCTGAGATGGCGTATGAGTTCGGCAAATGATCGCTGTGATTGACGCATGGGAATTCGGTAAATGATCGCTGCGATTGACGTACGGTTATGATTCAAGTCTCTCGTTGGCGGTCTTTCAAGATAAGGTTCAAGGCACTTGAAAGAGAGCACTACTTGGCAGAATAGCTGGGCCCCAGGCCAAAGGTCTGCACGAATCGCACCTGAACGGAATGACTCATCGGTCATCGCTTCTAATAAATTCCAACTCGCCGTGTAGCATTCAGCTCGGGTCTGTCGCTACTCGCTACTCGCTATTGAAGTTAGCAGCGGCTTGCCTATTCGGCCGTTTCTAACTTCGCTAGGCCTGAAATGATCAAGTGTCCGTTGCAGCTAAGTCAACCCATCTGCCAAATCCGCGTATGTCTATGGGGATTTTATGTGTAAGCGTTTGGGGTTACCCATCTGCCCCCGGCAGACCTGCGCTGCGGCTGACGTCACCTGACGAGGTCGTGACCGTGGCCCTATCGCGCCTGAACACAGAGGTGCTGATAGGCCGATAGGCCACCTGCCTGCCTGGCCGAGAGCCGCTGCGAGCGGTGGATAGTTGCAGAGTGCCGGCCCACGGGACAGACAGACGGGGGGCAGCTCGGTCTAGCTCGTCTACAGGTGAGCGTTTCCACAGAGGGGTTAATTCGCTGCCACTACTAATGAACGTCAAACCCCTTGAGACCCCACTTTTTTGCGATAATTTTTAAATGCGTCAACTTTCGTTGACAATATTCTGGCAATGCATGTTTCAGAACCTGCCGAAACTTTTATTACTAAGGTATTTTGACGCCAAACGATTATGGAAGGTACTTCTCATTCACTCGTAATGTTAACCCTCGCCCTGGCAGGGCATTTTTCATAACACGGCCTGGCAGGGGGGGGGGGGTCGATGCGACCCCCCCCCCCCTCGCGATTGGCTCCTATGGCACCTAGAAACACCAAATTTGGTAGGTAGGTGGGCCCCCCGGAGTTCTCGCCCCTGTGCAAATTTGGTTGCTCTAGGTCAATATTTAGGGGGGTTTTGGGGGGTATAAATGTAAAAATTTCGCTAAAAACAGGTCAAAAGTTTTTCGCTTATAACTTTTGATCTAAGTAAGATAGAGCAAAAAGAAAAGCACCAGTGAACTCAGCACGTCAAGGCGCGTCGAATGATATACTTTTTAGCTTGCTTAAGTGTACTTAAAGTTTTTCTTAAATTTTAAGTAAACTTAACTTAATAAGTTAAGTTTAAGTTAACCAAATTGCATCATATCGCATATCATTTGATTCGGCTGATCACCAGGAACACAATGATACCATTTTTTAAGCTCTAGCGTCATTATGTGCCAAGTTATTGGCAAAAACGTCATTTGACCTCAGTTGACCTCATTTGACCTGACCCATGGATAAGTACACCAAACAAAGGAGCACCAAGTGACCTGCTGTTAAGTACCGTGGTTTCAAAGCACAAAAAAGATCAAACGAAGCGAATATCTCCAGTATTTTCCGAATTTAGTATTTTCCCATAGGCTTAACATTACGACGTAATGACCTGTAACTGACCTCAGGTCAGTGACCTAAAAAAACCGGACTATATGTTATGCAACTTGGTGAACTTAGCACATCCTGAAAGTTTGAAGGAAATCAGTCGAAAACTGTGAGTTGGACAGGTGCAAAAAGAAAATTAAAAATTGACCATGACCTTGTACCGGTTTTTCTGACCTGGTGACCTGACCCAAGGTCACCCAGACCTAAAATTTTCAGGTCATATGTAAAAAGGTTGCCCCATAGGCTGTGCCAAATTTGGCGGCGCTGCGCGCCGCCGTTTTTACGCTATCTTCGAAAAACCTTAGGGGGGGGGGTCGCATCGACCCCCCCCCTGCCAGGGCGAGGGTTAAGGTCAATCCAGGCCTGGGCAGAGGCTTGGGCTCGGCCACACTCGAGCCCCGCCACCAGCGCCATCTGCTCTAAATGCCATCTACCAGCGCCCGCTACCGCTACCAGCTACCGCCCACCATCAAGCCTGAATGGAGCGAGAGACGCGAGTGACCGGTCGCCGGGCAAGGAGCGCCGGAGGGGTAGGGCGGAGCTTAGCGCTGACGTCATTACGTGGCTCCGCCCCATGAGCGCGTAGCCTCTACCCAAACAGCAGATTCGTTCCGTGAAATTTAACATTACGAGTGAATGAGAAGTACCTTTCATAATCGTTTGGCGTCAAAATACCTTAGTAATAAAAGTTTCGGCAGGTTCTGAAACACACATTGCCAGAATATTGTCAACGAGAGTTGACGCATTTAAAAATTATCGCAAAAAAGTGGGGTCTCAAGGGGTTTGACGTCCATAGTAGACGGGTAACGGTCAGCGAACTGCGTGGGGCAGCCAGTGTATTGTCAAAAGACATTCGGTATGCTGTCGTACGGTCAGTGGCGCTGTCCTACGGTTGGATACTGTCATAGACAGTACGGTCAGAATCAGAACTCAGGAAACTCTCATAGTACGGCTAGTGCACCTTTACGGAAGGATCAGTGTACTGTCATAATACGGTCAGTATGCTGTCACAATACGGTCAGTATACAGGACGATCAATAAACTGTCATAAGACGGTCAGCATAATGTGACAATACCATACGATCAGTGTACTGTCACAGTACGATCAATATACTGTCATGAGACGATTAGCATAATGTCACGTTACGGTCAACTGTCACAGTACGATCAATATACTGTCATAAGACGGTCAGAATAATGACACAATACGGTCAATGTACTGTTACAGTATATACGATCAGCCTATTGTCACAGCGCACTCAGTGTACTGTCAGCGGACTGTCAGTACATTTTCAACAGACCGTCATTATACTGTCACACTATGATCGGTCAGTAGGTATGCTGTGACAGGATGTCTGTTACCGAACGTTTTCGCCGATTGCTAGTGACGCTCATAGCTCAGTTTGTCTGCCGTCCGCTCAGGGGACCATGATGAGCCTCTGGTCACTGAAGGAGCGTCAGAAGCGGCTGCGCGACCCGGACCGGCCCCGCGGTCGGTCCGACTCCGACCGGTGCCAGAGCAGCGGTGGAGGTGGTGGGACAGAGCCGGGGGAGGATGACTCCAGCTCCGACGAGTGGGAGGTGATCGGCGAAGAGGCTCCCAGACAGATGCCGTCACAGCAGTACTACCCGCCGCCGGTGAGACAGGCAGATGGACCACCCGCTGTCCCGTCTGTTCCGACATTGCCAGGTGTTCCGTCGTTGTGATGCGTCGGCGATAGCTGTTGCCTGTTTTATAAACATTTGCATTTGTAAAAAAATCAACTATTACAAATCATCTCAGCAAAGCGATGCGTTAAAATGGTGTGTTTTATTGTGTATTTACGACCAATCTGCTCTAGACGACATGGATCCGGTGCCAATCCCGATATTGATATATGTGTGTCTGACGACGTGACTGTTTTCGTTCCAGCTGACGGACCTGCTAAAATCCAAACCCGCGCCCCACTGGGGGGGGGGCTATTTATAGCCCCCCCTCCCGTTTTTCTGCAATAACTTCCAAACCTCTTGACGGATCGACGCTAAACTTTCAGTACCTTCGGCTGCATCAATTTGACACCTTGTGTCAAAATTTGAACTTCGTAGCTACCATAGGTCGGCCGGAAATGACGTCAGAGTGACGTCATGTTCGTCCGATTTCGACGCAAAACATTGAACCACGGCAATCGCTCCCAAGAGCTCAGTTTTTAAGCTAGATCCAATTTCTTTGCATGAAAGAACTCAGAATTGACCGCGCTATCAAACTGCTATCTCGGATTTTCAAAATTTTGAAAATTTCGAAAATTTTATATAATAATATTCAAAATTTATATTTTTATATTTTTTCAAAAAGTTTTTGACTTTTCGAAAAAACCGGAATATATGTGACAGAACGCATGATTATGACTAACTCTAGCAAGTTTTAGCTAAATATCTTCAAAAATGGCCAAGTTATACACATTATTGCAAAAAATTCACAATTATTAATTTTTCAAATCAATTTTTCAGTACGCATTTGGCATCGTACACCAATATCAATGGCACCATCGTGTTCCTGAGCTCAAACTGCATCCAATAGACACCTTTTTTGTTGAAAAATTTCAACTTCAAAATTTGACCTTTTTTGACCTGAAAGTGACCTGACCTAAGCTAAATTCGACTCAAAATGACCTCGAATGACATAGACGACATCAAATTCGAAATCTATGGCCTAAATGGACCATAAAACATGTGTCACGTGACCGACGCATGATATAGGTAATATTTTCGTGACCTGTGATGACCTGACCCTGACCTGAAAAGCAAAGTACAAGTTTGGTACCCTCAAGGTATCTAGAGCATCTGTTCACGAGTGTGGAAGCCAAAAATGAGCCTGATCTGACTTGTAAGACGGCGGCCAGAGCCCAAAATGTGAACAAGCCAAAGTGCTAATAATTTTTACGTTGACCTGACCTGTGACGTCATCGGTGACCTCGAGGTCAATGAAATTAGGTTTCGCTCGACAGTTTTTCCGGGCAGGCGCGTAACCACGAGTCTAAAGTTACTGGGGACCACATGGAGGGCCGCGAAGACCAAATATTATATTACAGGATCAGCCTTCGCCCGAGTGGGTGGGGGAGGGGGGCATTTTTGGCCACACCTGCCAGTTTTTTTTTTGCGCGTGTGAGGAAAACCGCGGCGCGCACCGCCGCAAAACTTGGTATAGCTTATAATATCTCAATTTCGCATCGTGTGCGAAAAGTTTGACCCCAGGTCACAAAAGGTCAGGTCACCAGGTCAAGTAAAGTAACCATGTCTCTAAAAAAACTTTGTGACTCTGTCATTCCTACAGTTTACATCCCAGAAGTTTGAAACTCGGGCTTTTGCATGAGGTAATCAGTGTAAACAATTCGAATATCAAAGTTTTCACGTCGGTGACCTAATGTCAGGTCAATTTTGCGACCTCCCCATTATGAGAAAATGGAAGAAAATGCTCTTCTTTTGGCCAAAAACACAAACACCGTGACACAGGTAAACATGACACACTGAACCTGAAAATTGCATCTGTGACCCCTTCTATGTCCCTGAGGTCATCTCAGGTCATGTAAATCTCCAACAGATTCATAACTTTAGATAGGAACATGCTAGAGCGCTGACAACACCATGAATGTGTTCAGCTTAACGAGACCAATCGAATGACATGCAATACGACCCTCTCCGTGACTTTGACCTAAGGTCAAATTTTCAAGTTGACCTTTTCAGTCAACTTATAGTTCATTCGACGCTTCTTTACGAGACAAACGCGATGCCGGTAAAATCAGCATCATACAAGCTTGGAGTCAAAAGTTATGATACTTTTCCGCAAAAAACGCCAACTTTTGATAGTTTTGCCTCTGGAGGCTAAAACGTTAACCTTAGGTCAAATCTGAGATCACTGCTCAGACAAGCCTTTGAAAGAGCTATCAAATGCGCTTTCCGCAGCACTGCAGCTCTATTAGTCCCCGACTTATGCGCCGACTTGTGAAAAGTTGTCAAAATCGGGAACAAAAATTCGTGAACATTTTACCTTTGGTGACCTCCAGTGACCTGAACGATGACCTGATAATGGCCTAAATAATTCCGAAACATCCTCTAGCGAGCTATCTGTTGCTTTTTACCGCGTCTTTCTAGCTTGCTTACTTTCCGAGATAATCTGGTGTGACCAAAAAGCCCCCCCCCCCCCCACCATGGCGAAGTTGGCTGAGGGGCCCACCCGGTCGCGGGCTCAACAAGACATCCACAGTTGTCTTCCGTTGACTACATATTACTCTCCACTTCAATTTAGAGACAATATTTGGCTATTTAAACACATTGAGGAGGTCGTCGGTTTTACCGGGGACGGTCCCCAGTAACCGAAAAGTAACTGGGGACCGGTCCCCAGTGTCCCCAGTGGTGGTTACGCGCCTGTTTCCGGGGCTATCAGACGCCGTTTGAATTTTGACGATCGGCCCAGTAGTTTCGGAGTTAGGAGGGGGGGCTATGAATAGCCCCCCCCCCCCCCCAGTAGGGCGTGTTATACACAGACCCCAGTGGGGCGCGGGTAAAGCATAGGGGCGATTAACCAGACTACAATGAAACTGTGAATGTTGCTTACATGTATCGTCACCATTGCAGCTTGAACTTTATCCATTGACGTCTTCTTTTCGATCGCTCCGCATTAAAAAAAATCGCCAGTCAAAGCCATCCATTGAGATTGATAAAACCGCTCATTACTTTAGCGTTGGGCTGTACCTACTGTTACAGTTCGATCAGGCTACCGTCACAGCGCACTCAATACTGTCAGCGGACTGTCAGTACATTGTCAACAGGCTGTCAGTATGCTGTCACACTTTGGTCGGCCAGTAGGTATGCTGTGACACCGAACGTTTTCGCCGATTGCCAGTGACGCTCATCAAGCTCAGTTTGTCTGCCGTCCGCTCAGGGGATCATGATGAGCCTCTGGTCACTGAAGGCGCGTCAGAAGCGGCTGCGCGACCCGGACCGGCCCCGCGGTCGTTCCGACTCCGACCGCCGGCGCCAGAGCAGCGGTGGCGGTGGTGACACGGAGCCGAGGGAGGATGGCTCCAGCTCGGACGAGTGGGAGGTGATCGGCGCAGAGGCTTCCAGACAGATGCCGTCACAGCAGTACTACCCGCCGCCGGTGAGACAGGCAGATGGACCACCCGCTGTCCCGTCTGTTCCGACATTGCCAGGTGTTCCGTCGTTGTGATGCGTCGGCGATAGCTGTTGCCTGTTTTATAAACATTTGCATTTGTAAAAAAGTCAACTATTACATATCATCTCAGCAAAGCGATGCGTTAAAATGGTGTGTTTTATTGTGTATTTACGACCAATCTGCTCTAGACGACATGGATCCGGTGCCAATCCCGATATTGATATATGTGTGTATGACGACGTGACTGTTTTCGTTCCAGCTGACGGACCTGCTAAAATCCAAGGAGAGCAGCCAGGAACGATCCGGGTATGATCTGACTCAACCTTTGTAGGTAACTTGTAAGCTCTAAGTTAGGCTGATGTTCTTTGGCGATGCATTCACATGCTTTGTGATGTATTTCATCCATTATCAAGTCGCTAAAACGTTTATATTCAATACCGTATTGTATTCAGCAGGGCTGCGGAGTCGATGGATTTTCGGCGACTCCGACTCCGACTCCGACTCTGGCTTCCAAAAACCAGCTCCGACTCCGACTCCGACTCCGGGCAGCATTGTCGACTCCGACCGACTCCAACCCGACTCCGACTTCGCAGACCTAGCAGGGCTGCGGAGTCGACAGATTTTCGGTGACTCCGACTCCGACTCCGGCTCGGGTTTCTAAAATCGACTCCGACTCCGACTCCGACTCCGGTCACAACTGTCGACTCCGACCGACTCCGACTCCGACTCCGACTCCGACTCCGACTCCGACTCCGACTCCGCAGCCCTGGCTATTATAATGCACCTATAGGTATAGGTGAATGCCTTTCCGCACATTAGACGACAATAGTTTATATTTTATAATAAAACGCAATTTGTGCATTGAACGGGCATATGTACGGTCCTGCAGGTACATATACAGGCATTGTTTGGTTGCCGGTATCACACTAAACGATATGTAGGTATTGCATTGATGAATTATGAATGCCTACATCAAATGGCTGTTGAAAACAATTGGCTGTGTTGGCATCAACGCAGATCAACTATTATAAAGTTGGCAGTCAGCCTGGAGGACCGTATAGTTACCTACGTATACGGCCGTATATTGATAATATGTAGGTATATCTATACGGATATGTATACGGCCAGTATACGGCTATGTATTAATAATATACCTATAACGTATATCTGTATATATGCATTAGGCATGACTATGCATAACTACACGCGTCTATTGACAGCGCGGCCTCAAAGTCAGCTGGGAAGGACGACAAGAAAATGGACTGGGCCGCGTTGGGTCTCGCGCTGGCAGCCGACATCGACGCCTGTCTGGATGCCCTCGACGGCAAGCGGCCGGCGGGAGAGCCTCAGCAGCGGCAGCCGAAGGGAAGAGAGAACAGTCAGCCCCGCGGCGCGGGCAGGGAGGACTGCCCCGAGGAGCAGCTGTGGAGACCCTCGGCGCCGCCTGCCCCGCAGGTGCCCGAGGTGTGCTACCGCCATCCGGGCTGCCAGACCCCTGTCTGCCACCGGCTGCACATCTGCCTGCTGTTCCTGGCTGACCTGTGCCCGCACGGCGACCGCTGCTTCCGCGGCCACTCGCTGGCCACCGCGCACAACCAGGTGGGTGTCTACATCAGTAACAAATGCAATACGCACTAGCCACACAACTGATATGGCATATTACTGTGCTTCTTTACCGCAATATGTTGATGCCTGGCGGCTGTGTTGACCCCTGGCGGCCCTGTGAGATCTCCCCCGCTCACCGTTACCGTTCGTTCAGCGTGTGTGGGACAGGGTCGCGTCCGACGCAGACAGCGAGGCAGAGCGAGTAGCGCTCCTGTTCAGCTACTACCAGCAGATCGGCCGACTCCCCGACTGGCTGTACCGTAACAACCTGCGGCTCTGCCTGCGGCCGGCCTGTGACGGCGCGTGCCGCCGACTGCACCTCTGCCGGTGAGCCGCTCCGTGACAAAAAAAAAATGCCAATAATGATAATGATAGAAACAAACAGAAACAAATAAGAAATAATATAACAATAAGAAACAAATATGGAGTGTTACGCTAATCAGAGTTTGAAGCTAAAGTAGACATTTCAATTATACCGACCAACTGCATTTCCTCCATTTAAATCTAGAAGAAGAAAAAAACTTAGGAGAAGTCGATGTGTTTTTGTTCAGACTTATCGATGCACCGATGTATTTTCGATGTATCGAGATTCGAGAATGACCCGTGCCCGTCCAGAGTGTGGCCTGTGCCGCGCTGACCGTAACCTGTGACCTGTGACCTGTGACCTGTGACCTGTGACCGGTGACCTGTGACCGGTGACCTGTGACCTGTGACCTGTGACCTGTGACCTGTCCACAGAGACTGGGTGGCCGGGGAGTGTTTCCGCTCGTCCTGTAAGTTCAGTCACACGCTGCGCAGTGAGCACAATGCGGCAGTGCTGCGGCGGTTCCACCTGGCCGAGGAGGGGGATACGGCCCTACTCCGACTGCTAGAGGACAGATGCACCGCACAGAGGCACCAGTCAGACCAGGTAGGTACGGCATGTGTTCACTCTATACCTGAAGCCTGCAGGCGGTCCAATGACTTTTGTTGTGCACTCTACCTGCAAGTGTTTGAATAACGTCTATTCAATTAGAAAAATTAGTTAAGCGTTAAGTTAACGGTTTGGTTGACCTATGGTTGAGTAGTTACTGCTCAATTGTGACGTGTATCTTTTTTTGTACGTGTTTGGCTTGCAGTCTGACCGGCACCGGTTCACAGTGCGCCGCGGGCCGGCGCAGCGGGCAGACGGGCCCGCTGACGGAGTCGGCGGACCCGCTCTCTCAGGAGTTGGAGTGCGCCGTCTGCCTGGAGCTGTTTCGGCGCGCCACCACCCTCGGCTGCGGCCACACGTTCTGCGCCGACTGTGTGCGCTCCACGCGCCGGTGTCCGCTCTGCCGAGCTCCCGTCACCAGCGCGGCCCGCTCCGTCACACTGGATAGCATCATCGGCAGCCTGTCTGCCGCGCAGGGAGCAGACGGGGTGACGGGGGCCCTGTACCCTGAACTGGGCCACACCGGACCACACTGAGCGGTCCTGACCGGACCAGACAGTACTCCGGAGTTTGTGTCCTGACCTGGACCACACCGGACTGACTGAGTGATCCAGACCTTATCATGGACGATATGTGAACGGTACTGTCGGCTTGCTCCGGGCAGTTGACCAAACCACACCGTGTGAGCCGTATAACGGGCCGGGCCGGACCCGGACTGCATGTATAACATTTACGTTTGTGACCATTCTAAATGTGTGCAGCTTTTTTGTTCTCGCTCTTGATATAAGTTGTACTCGGCTAAAATAAAAAGTCGACACTACTTTTTCTTTTGTCTGTTATATTGTCGATTGAACGAAATGAACATCGTCTTACGAAAAGAAAAGCTAGGGACCAGTTACAAAGATGATCCGCTTAAAGCTTTGGTCGCTTTTTGCGCGTGTGCACGTGCAGAGCTTGCTTCATCTCAAGACAGGATAGACCATTTACGCTAAAAGAAGGTTTGTCATCATGAACCTGCTCACCCAGGTACGAGCCGGGGCGATCGGACAATGGCGGAGACGGGGGGGGGGGGGGGCGACTGGGCAGCGGGGCGGGGTCAGACCAGGGTCGGCCCAGGAGTCCGTCCCTTTGCCCTCATTTTACTCTTCCTGTCCTTCTGGCGTGCCATGATAAGGCAGCAGACTAGGATGGAAATGAGTATGATGTAAGGCAGTTATCGGGGCTCTGGCCGGATAATAGCTGGGTTTGTCTCGTTACCCAATTTCGTCATATGTGTACCTATGCGAGCAATGCGTTTGCGCTGTGTTATCTGGGGGCTGTTGGGTCCAGTTGGGTCCAAAGCTCAGTAACAACCCGGTACGTAATATCAGTCGTTGCGCCGTTTAAAGCTGCGAAAGGGCGACGAAATGGAGGTCGAAGCGCTTCATCGGTCGTCGCCTTCATCGAGGATGTTGGTTCTGCGACACCTGAGCGAGCGTCATTTCAGCGAACGACATTTGAGCGAAGCCTTTTCAGCGATTAGCAATTTAAGCGATTGACTTTTTCAGCGATTGTCAAGTCGGCGAATTCAATCACAGCGATTATCAACTTAAGCGAGGACCAGAATCAGCGAAACCAGATTGAGCGAATATATGGAGGTCAATGGGGGACCAATTGAGCGAACACAGTTACAGCGAAACCGAACGCGACGGAAATCAATCATTTCTACTTTTCGGGAATTCTTGCCCTTGGAATACCCGCTTGGTATGTGTTATGCTTCAAATTAAAAAATTTCTTTTAAGCTTGGAAACCACAAAAATATCTGGCCTCATTTTGCAACTTTGATCTGGAAATGTGGAACGTGAGAGATAGGACGATGGAAGGAATGCCAAGGACCAATAATAAACTCGAGGGATGGCACAGGGGGATCCAGTCTATGTTTCAGGGACCTCACCCAAATATCTGGAAATTCGTACGTTGCTTGGGGCAAGAACAAATTTTACAACATGGGGAACTGATCCAAATTCAAGCGGGGGAATTTCGCGAAAAACAGCACAAGCAATATGAATCTCTGAACAAACGTTTGGTCATCATTATTGGCAAACAGCAGGGGGGGGGGGGATCGAACCGCTGGAATTTTTAGAAATGTGGCATTAAATTTGGAGCTTAATGTCTGAACTTTGAACGTGACATCCACCATCCAGTTCCGGATAACCATGAAAAGTTCCGGAAACACTCGTTGTACGAACGCTCGCAAAAGAAAAAAAGAGAAAAAATATACCGTTACGGGACGATGAAGTGTTTCGCTGAAATGAGAGTCGCTCAAACTGTAGTCGACGAAAAAGATGTCGCTGAAACATAGCTTTCGCTAAAATTGATAATCGCTATATTTGATAATCGATCAATTTGATATTCGCTAAGTTGCCAGTCGCTGAAAATGGTTCGCTCAAATGACGTTCGCTCAAATGACACTCGCTAAAGTCGCTCGCACCGGGCATATGTACGGTCCTGCAGGTACATATACAGGCATTGTTTGGTTGCCGGTATCACACTAAACGATATGTATTGTATTGATGAATTATGAATACCTACATCAAATGGCTGTTGAAAACAGTTGGCTGTGTTGGCATCAGCGCAGATCAACCATTATAAAGTTGGCAGTCAGCCTGGAGGACCGTATACCTACGTATACGGCCGTATATTGATAATATTTAGGTATATCTATACGGATATGTATACGGCTATGTATTAATAATATACCTATAACGTATATCTGCATATATGCATTAGGCATGACTATGCATAACTACACGCGTCTATTGACAGCGCGGCCTCAAAGTCAGCCGGGAAGGACGACAAGAAGGTCGACTGGGCCGCGTTGGGCCTCGCGCTGGCAGCCGGCATCGACGCCTGTCTGGACGCCCTCGACGGCAAGCGGCCGGCGGGAGAGCCTCAGCAGCGGCAGCCGAAGGGAAGAGAGAACAGTCAGCCCCGCGGCGCGGGCGGGGAGGAGTGCCCCGAGGAGCAGCTGTGGAGACCCTCGGCGCCGCCTGCCCCGCAGGTGCCCGAGGTGTGCTACCGCCACCCGGGCTGCCAGACCGCCGGCTGCCACCGGCTGCACATCTGCCTGCTGTTCCTGGCTGACCTGTGCCCGCACGGCGACCGCTGCTTCCGCGGCCACTCGCTGGCCACCGCGCACAACCAGGTGGGTGTCTACATCAGTAACAAATGCAATACGCACTAGCCACACAACTGATATGGCATATTACTGTGCTTCTTTACCGCAATATGTTGATGCCTGGCCGCTGTGTTGGCCCCTGGCGGCCCTGTGAGATCTCCCCCGCTCACCGTTACCGTTCGTTCAGCGTGTGTGGGACAGGGTCGCGTCCGACGCAGACAGCGAGGCAGAGCGAGTAGCGCTCCTGTTCAGCTACTACCAGCAGAGCGGCCGACTCCCCGACTGGCTGTACCGTAACAACCTGCGGATCTGCCCGCGGCCGGCCTGTGACGGCGCGTGCCGCCGACTGCACCTCTGCCGGTGAGCCGCTCCGTGACAAAAAAAAAATGCCAATAATGATAATGATAGAAACAAACAGAAACAAATAAGAAATGATATGATGATAAGAAACAAATATGGAGTGTTACGCTAATCAGAATTTGAAGCTAAAGTAGACATTTCAATTATACCGACCAACTGAATTTCCTCCATTTAAATTTAGAAAAAAGGCTTAGGAGAAGTCGGTGTTTTTTTTTTTTTGTTCAGACTTATCGATGCATCGATGTATTTTCGATGTATCGAGATTCGAGGATGGCCCGTGCCGAGGATGGCCCGTTCAGATTGTACCCGTATACTGCACTGCCCCTGTCCTGTGACCTGCACCGGGTGTGACCGGTGACCTGTGACCTGTGACCTGTGACCTGTGACCTGTGGCCTGTGACCTGTGACCTGTGACCTGTACCGAGTGTGACCTGTGACCTGTGACCTGTGGCCTGTGACCTGTGACCTGTGACCTGTGACCTGCGACCTGTGACCTGTGACCTGTGACCTGTGACCTGTCCACAGAGACTGGGTGGCCGGGGAGTGTTTCCGCTCGTCCTGTAAGTTCAGTCACACGCTGCGCAGTGAGCACAATGTGGCAGTGTTGCGGCAGTTTCACCTGGCCGAGGAGGGGGATACGGCCCTACTCCGACTGCTGGAGGACAGATGCACCGCACAGAGGCACCAGTCAGACCAGGTAGGTACGGCATGTGTTCACTCTATACCTGAAGCCTGCAGGCGGTCCAATGACTTTTGTTGTGCACTCTACCTGCAAGTGTTTGAATAACGTCTATTCAATTAGAAAAATTAGTTAAGCGTTAAGTTAACGGTTTGGTTGACCTATGGTTGAGTAGTTACTGCTCAATTGTGACGTGTATCTTTTTTTGTACGTGTTTGGCTTGCAGTCTGACCGGCGCCGGTTCACAGTGCGCCGCGGGCCGGCGGAGCGGGCAGACGGGCCCGCTGACGGAGTCGGCGGACCCGCTCTCCCAGGAGTTGGAGTGCGCCGTCTGCCTGGAGCTGTTTCGGCGCGCCACCACCCTCGGCTGCGGCCACACGTTCTGCGCCGACTGTGTGCGCTCCACGCGCCGGTGTCCGCTCTGTCGAGCTCCCGTCACCAGCGCGGCCCGCTCCGTCACACTGGATAGCATCATCGGCAGCCTGTCTGCCGCGCAGGGAGCAGACGGGGTGACGGGGGCCCTGTACCCTGAGCTGGGCCACACCGGACCACACTGAGCGGTCCTGACCGGCCGGATCGGGTGACCGGGACCCTTAACATACCTTGACCTGGATCACACCGGACCAGACTGAGTGATCCGGACCACATCACGGGACGGATCGTGTGAATAGTACAGTCGGCTTGCTCCGGGCAGTTGACCGAACCGCACCGTGTGAGCCGTAACGGGCCGGGCCGGACCCGGACTGCATGTATAACATTTACGTACGCTTGTGACCATTCTAAATGTGTGCAGCTTTTTTGTTCTCGCTCTTGATATAAGTTGTACTCGGCTAAAATAAAAAGTCGACACTACTTTTTCTTTTGTCTGTTATATTGTCGATTGAACGAAATAGACATCGTCTTACGAAAAGAAAAGCTGGGGACCAGTTACAAAGATGATCCGCTTAAAGCTTTGGTCGCTTTTTGCGCGTGTGCACGTGCAGAGCTTGCTTCGTTTCAAGAAAGGCTAGACCATTTACGCTAAAAGAGGGTTTGTATGTCGGTATGTCCGTTGATAACGACGGGCTCGTTGATGCGTTGATAACGGGGTCGCATATTGCGCTCGCTCGTTCGTCGTTTAAAAGGCGTTTTACATACCGGTTATAACTGACCAGTGCCTCGAAAACGTTGTATTGACGCTGGTCCAATAAAAAATGTTATTTCTTGATTTACTGCTACGGATACTGATACGAAATGGTAATCAAAATAAGCTTAGACGTTCATACGAGTAATTACAGCGCTATTACATAAAGCAAACTTTGGTAAAACGTTCGCAACACTTCACTCAAAATTCAAAGACCATTTGTAGACATCTATGTATCGGCACTAATACACTTAACACACCTTAGCACTTATTAACGCACACTCCTTTAACACTGGCATCAACGCTTAACACGTGCACTTCTCGGCGATACCTCCACGATAACTACCTATGTATATGAACAATAATCGTAAAGTGTAGCGCAACCGTGCTTCAAAGCCTCCGAGAAGTCACCACATTGTCATATTTCTCACTAGTGTACGTCAGTAAGCCGATGAGAGCGCCGGCCGGCCTTCACCTAGCTGGTCTGCGAGGCGTTCCAGT